AACATTGGTGCAAAAGTCCTGGGGCCCGGCCCATGCCGGATTCCCCGGAAAATTGATATCTGACATTCCATCTCGCCACCAGCTAGCTGGTAACTTGTGTGCTTGCCAGGCAGTATTTCTTTTTCCCAACACCATGGTCAAGGAAACGGCTAAGCGATGTGCTTCAGGTGATATCGTCCCTAATTGCCAGCCTAGATGCGACTGGAGGAATGTGCGTTTCTCGCCGACGTTGGCGAGACGGATTCGCAACCCGTGGAGACCACGGAACGGCTCTCCCACTAGCCCGCCCGTTAGCGATGGGTCCTTTGTTGGGTCAAGAAAAGCAAACGGTAACCGTAAATTGTGGACGGTGATGCATCCTGGGCCCGCGGCGTATCGGCGATCCCACCGGCAGTTACTTTTAATGGCTGGTTGAGCCTTTAAGGTGACATTTTTGCATTGCAGGAGCGAGATGATGGGACAGGCACATCGAAGGATGTAAGCGATCATTTTCCAGAGATTTGATAACGGTCGGACTATTGCCGCGTCAAGGCCCAGATTGACGGGCGTTCTGTTGCGCGAGTTAAGAGTCCATTGTAACGCTTATTCGCGGGCAGACGATGTTGTCTCTCCATTAGGTAAATGGAGTATCGAACCCCGGAACCCTTGGGCAGTCGTTTCCACAACGGAGAACAAATCCTGGGCAGAATTATCTGCAGATTCTCGCATAAACAATATCTTGATTCGTGCTCTGCCACGTCTGTATCCACACAATTACCACCTTTTTACAGCTTGAATACCACTCATTGCCGTCGTTGGAACTAGAAATGACTCGTCACATTGTATTATCACAATGGAGACACTCTGGCGACAACACTCCAAATGGTAACCCAGCGTTACAAAAAGGGTGAATAGCTCCCGACATTACGAGGCGTTGATCAGTGCTCCTACGACCGGGGCCCCGAAAGAAGATGGATTGATATGCTGCACCTCAGGCGTCCCAGCAACTGGGTTCCTGACAGGGTTTCAATGCGGCCAAGAAGTTGAGATTGACATTCCTACAGTTCCATTGGGCGGCGAAGGAATGCAGAATGTGACAGAACCGAAGTACGGTACATCCTTTTTGCACCGCAAGCGAGGTCTACTGCAGACACTGGAAGCGCGCAACGCGGGAAGACGGCTACAGGTTCATGGGAACTTGTAAGACGTCGTTTCATGCAACATACCAAGGACAACTGCAGGGTAGCCGTATTGGATGGTGAAGAGTATGCTGGTCCAGCCACCAGGGTTCAAGACATCACTAACAATGAATGACATTCTCCCGTCACAGTCCGCCAATTTTGATGGAGAATTTCCGTTGACGGGACTCGATTAGTGAACTGTCTAAAACTTAGCTCCAGTATGGATTGGTTCAGAAATCATGGTGGCGTAGCGCCACAGGTCACACTTTCAATCAACAGCAAGGATAGATCAACCTTTCAACTTGTGGCCCTGAGGAGGACCAACGTTCCCGGCTGGCTCTCCGGTTCCCCGGGCAAACCTTCGATCGGACGGTTTGGTTCTCATCGTGTGGTACTCAGAGTGGGAAACAACCGGGGCACTTCCCTTATGCCACTGTCGTTATCGAAAGCGGAGCTGGCTCCGTGACGAACTGCCCCCTGATCCTCTGGGGGTGCTAGTAAACGGTTCACGGAGCAGTCCGTACGTTGACACCGTTCGTGCCTTGACCACCTTCAGTCCCATTGGAGAAGTGAAATGTTCATCATAAGCACCTAATTCATACCTTCCCCTGCCATGGCCTCACGATCGGCATGGTCCTTGCTGGATATTGGGAACACTGAACCAGGAGCACCGGACAGGGAACAAGCACAAGGTCTTCAGGGAGAAAGAAGAGCAGGGACATATGAGCGATTCAAGCTGCCATACGCACGGGGCTAAACGTTCAGTTCCATCGATTCGGTCTCTGTTCAGAGTTTTCCTCGGGTAGTTATTTACACTTTGTGTTTCCCCTTGATCTCCTTTCATCGACTTAGCTGCTGGGTCCGGCTTTGCTTCTTCTGTTTCTACCTCAGGCGGTTTTCTTTTCGTTAAATTTATTGTTTGTTGGCAAAATGTCCGCCGCCGAAGCAAATGCCTTCATTCAGGAAGTCTGGGGCTTGCAGGGTGCTGCCTATCTCGTGGTCGGATTACGATATTACAGCCGAGCCTCTACACTGGGATGGAGGAAGTTTGCTTGGGATGACGCCTTGATGTTTCTAGCAATTGTAAGCATCATCGTCTCCAAAGCAACAAACATTCGACTAATCCCTCTACTAGCTGGTGTATACTGCGGAATCAGTTGCGGCATATTTTGTTGTTGCGTACTGGAAAGGGTTTGCCAACAATGGCATGACTGACGACCAACGAGCTTCTCTAGACCCAACATCACCAGAGTGGCTCTTGCGTGTCAACGGCTCCAAGACACATGTTATTGGCCTTCTACTATACACCACTTTGCTATGGTTGCTGAAGGCTTGTTGGGTAGTTTACTACTCTCGTCTTACGTGAGCGAATCTGCAATTCTTCTCCTAGATCATCCACTTTGGTGCTAACATCTGCCAGTGACGGGGTTCGTAAGATGAAGCGAGTCATCTTCTGGGCTATGATCATCATGCCCATAACCTACGTTGCGTGTCTGTTGGTCGCATTTATGAAATGCATTCCATTCCAGAATCAATGGCAGATCCACCCTTCACCAGGGAGTAAGTTCAGGCACTATCTCCTAGAGTAACTGGACTAACCGAAGAAAGACTCTTGCATGCCTGCCGTTTCTATATTGCAAACCACCTTTGTCATGGCCATGGTAAGTTCACTACTCTTAAGGTACTATTGCACCATGTCCTCTCTGCATGGCTAACACTATAGCAGAATACAGTAACAGACTTTTACCTGATGGCTATTCCGCTTCCTGTAAGTTTTGGATGGAAATGTAGTTGATTCGAATCGTGAGCTGACCTGACGTTTCGTAGATGGTGTGGAAGTCCCATCTGCCCTGGAGGAAGAAGGTGACTCTCATGATCATGTTCAGCGGTGGCTTCCTCGAGATGACGTTCGGTATCCTTCGTTGCGTCTCGATCCTTACAGTAAATGAACCCGGTCCACGCTGGTCCCGAGAGTCACTAACCAAATTTCTTTCCCAGGTTGGCGACACCGATCCCGCTCAATCAGGCTACTGGTCTGTCCGAGAATCTTTCGTTTCCGTAGTCCTTACCAACATGCCCATGGTCTACCCCCTCTTCAAAAGCGTCATCGACAAGAGCCGCAATGCGAGTACCAACAAAAGTGGCGCCATGGGTGACAGCCAGGGATACCGCTTGGGCAGCTACCCAGGCAAGCAGGGACCCCGAAGCCACCCTCTTTCCATTCCAAACGAGACGACGTGGGGATCAGACGAACACATAGTCTCTAGCAGTGTGGAGAAGAACATTGCCGGTGGCGAGGAAGCCTCAATTGGCTCTACGGATAAGCCTCAGAGCCCTTACTTGCCTCAAGGATCGAACATTGCGGAAGTTGCAGCAGAACCCGTCAACAACAATCGGCAATCAATGAGAGCAAGGCGTAATCAACCTGATGTTGACCCCAACAAGATTGTCGTCACAACGGAATACACTATTTCGAGGGCAACGCCTGACCCGCATGGGCCTAGGATGGGGAGATACTAACGGGACAGTACTAGGAAACGAAGGAAAACTACCTGAGATTAAGAGATTTCACTTAGTAACAGCATTTCCATATTATATAGCGATACCCAGTGATAGGGTTCTCATATCTGTGCTGCTAGGCCAAATGAATTGACTAGTTGAAGCGGGTAAGAAACATTGTATTTTCCACTTCCGATCTGCATCTTAACGCTTTGCCACTCTGTACATATAATTGATGTAAGCCACCCCAGAACTTATCACCCAACAATGTGCCACAGTGACTTGAAAAAACAGGAGCTTTGCTACATGACGAGGGACTTGCGCAAAAGCGTCCGCAACGTGACATTCCAAGCCACCGATCAAGTTTGATGTGTTGCAAATTTCTATTAAGGGCATGTAGTGTTGTGAAAGCTTGTCCGCATCAACAACATTGAGTAGATAACCACGAACTCTTTGGGAAGAAACCTCTGCACGCATGTCTGGCTACATGGCCTGTGGACTACGTGCTAACCTCAGGTATGTCCTTATCTTACTATACCTTAGGCTTACTCGATATAAAGGGGCGCAGACCGACCTAAGTTAGATTTCTTGTTTGCCTCTGTGGATTTGACTCAATTTTGCGGGTGTATCTACTGTTCTCGAAGCCAGGCACAAGTAAAAAGCACTCGCAAGAAGTTTGGTACATGCACTGAGGCGACGCTGAGGTGGAAGCATGTGATACGTGTGGAATGAGTGGGAAATATATGTAAATACTAAATGAATGTACGCTGTTGGATCACGGATTTGTCCGCAAACGAACGAAACCACTCGGGACTTTCTCACGGCATTCTGAAGAAACCCCCCCTCCCCTCCGTACCCCCCGTCGCGCGTCATCGACTAAGTAAATCCAACATCAAGCTCCCCCCCTTCCATTAAAGCGGGCACGACTAAGACATTTGCCATGGCGGTGAACCTGTGTGACCCTGAGAATTCGGTTTGCCCGGCATCTGGGTATGGGAGACTGGTTGATGGGCGGTTCCAAATTCTGGCTGCTGAGGATGGGGCATTTGCTGCTCATAGCTGGTCGGGACAGACCCTGCCACAAGTCCAGGTTGAGAATGCGTTGGCTGTGACTGCTGATGTGCTTGAGGCTGACCCATTTGCTGTGGAGAGAACATCTGATGTGTTGCTGCCTGTACATGTGCAGGCGGAGCCTGCTGTTGTAGAAACGCTTGTTGCGACTGTTGCGGATACTGTTGTTGCGGCGGCGGCTGCTGCTGCTGCTGGGGCTGCGTCGTCACTTGCCAAGGAGAGGCCGAGTACGTCGGTTGACGAAAGGGGTCTTGCGCAACAGTTTGAAACCTAGCCGCCTGAGCCGATCCTCCGAAGTGCACGTTCGGTCTCTGCGGTTGAGGAGCAGGGTCAGATTTGAAGAACGGATCGATAACTTGACTCTCTCCCCAAGAAACCGCTGGCCGGGTGTTCGGGTCACTTCCAAATTCGTCACGACGGATTCCGCCAGCGCGGTTGAGGTCTGCATCCGTGTGACTTAGCTTCGTCTTGTAGATGTAGCGACTGAACTGATCCGAGACTTCTCCGACGCGACGAAAATTTTCCCTTGTGAGATGAATTTGTTCTCCCGTCTCGGTGTGGTAGCCTGCAAGTGCAATGGCGCTTTGAAAAGCATTGCGAATCTGTCGCCCGTTCCAAACCGGCCCTCGCTCTGGGCGGCCTTGGATGGTCCATATTTGCTGGGCGAACGCGAGAATATCTTGTTCGTCAATCTGGACTCCGTTCGCCTTAACCTTCCTGATGTGGCTGCTCCATATCCTTGCTGTCTGAATCTCTGCCAAGGGGGGGTAATAAAGAGACATGTGTATCCTGGATTTGAAGGCTTCATCGAACGTCCCAACCCGATTAGTGGTTAAGAAAAGAATGCCTTCATAGTACTCTAGAACACGAAGAAACACTTCAAAACAATCAGCTGAGAATCTTCCGAGAGAGTGCGTAATCTTCGCGTGAATCTCAATGACTTAAGAACCTTACCAGAAACCAGAGCATTCCGCTGCATGTCGGTAGTTGTTCTTTGGGCGAGAAATATGTCTGCCTCATCAAGAAGTAATACACAATTCCAAGCATGAGCCAAACGAAAGATTTCTTGCAGTTTCGACTCTACTTCGTTTGGGTGAAGGCCAAGATCCCCTGTCAGACTTTGTCAGCTCTCGAACCTTGATGAACTTGAACCAGCATGTGCGTACCACATGTAATAGGGAGCAACGGCCGACTGTAAGCTTGAGCAACACATTCTATAACCAGATGTGAACATTAGTTGCTATTCTGTTCAAGTGACGTTGTGGTTGTCAACTCACCGGCTGTTGAAGTCTTTCCAACGCCAGGCACACCATGCAACAAAATGATGACCCCTCGCCCTACGTAACAGACATGGCCGCGTCAGTAAAAAAAGGTCGCGTCAAGTAAGGATTGACTTACCTTTGTCTCTCACAAGATCCAAATGCATTTTTCGTGACTTGTCTTGGGAGAAGTGGGACTTTATGAGTGATTGAACGAGCTCTTTGTGACCTGTCGGCAACTCAAGATCGTTCCATGGTTCTGGAGGATTCGTAATGGGTTGGAGTAGGTCGTTCCCATGGATATCGTGGATGATGGGAAGACATGCTTAACGTCTGTGGTCAGTATTGCATCCCCAAGACCTTCAAGAGCACTATTACTCACCCCATTTTCTGTTCCTTAGTACGAATGCGAACACTCTATTAGGCAAAAGCAATTGGTCGTCGCCAGATGGCGCCAATCCGGCAATGTCCCATCGCGCCCACTTACGCCGCTCCGAGACTAGAAATGCAGAAACTCCCATATCGGTGTCGTTGAAAGCAATCGGTCCAAGTCTTCGGTTGCGGTATACAGCTGCCAGCTCGCCAGTGGAATCTGGCGCATCTGCTGGAAGTTCAATTGGAGAAATCCACGCTGGAACCTCCTCGATGGCTCGGGTCATGTCGACAATTACTTCACTGTCGAATCTTTCTGTATACTCGAGTGAACTTCGAGCTGCTTCTCTCCCCAGTGCGGCGAGCTTCGTACCTCTGAGCGTAAGATGGAGATTTCGTCCAGAGAAGTAACGATGCTGAGCTCCAGCAGATACGAGCTCGATAAACTTTCTCCCACGCTCTTCGACTAAAGCCCGACTGAAAAGAGACTCTTCTCTTTCAGCCACCTGAATTGGTACTATCGGCAAGTCGTTGATAGCTTGCGTACCATCGAATTCAGAAAGGGTAAATCTTTGCCAAACTGGTATGTACTGCTCCCCATTGAAGTCAAGACAAAAGCATTCGACGACGAAGGGAGTGAAATCGTCTATGACAGGATTGGGGACCTCATCGTACTGAACCCGTCGCGACCAACGGCCACCACCGCGCCCCATTACTTTCCAGACCTTCTGCGGTATCTTGGGATCTCTTGAGATTATCAGGGAGCCTTGAGGAAAAATATACCAAAGTTCAGAGAACTTCACCGGCTCATCCATCCTTTTTATGTGTTCGACACGGGGGTTCAATCTTGTTTGAATGAATTCCTGCAAACATCGAAGGTCCAAAATATAGGCTGTCATCTCCCTTACATCTGTTGAATCGCTGCCTGGGTCATTCTGATACACGCCGTCAATCACTGGCTCGAGTTCAGCATCATTGAGTTGTGCAAGGTATTCTTCTTCAGTTTTGTCCTCCAGTGCCTTTCGTGAATTCTCGAGATGGTCTATAAGGTCTCTAAGCCTTCCCTCAAGTTCAAAGAGAACTTTGAAAGGCCGTAAGACGTGAAACGCTTGTTGTGGACTCATTCTCTGCGAGTGACTCTCTTCAGTCGCAGATGTAATGAACCTTCTTAGACGGAAAGAGTTGACTCGGATTCTTTCTGGTATAAGTTGATCCTGCTGAGATGCGACGGGGATGGTTGAGCGATTGACGTCGTGCGGTTGACGTTGATATCCAGGGTCTCGAGGCCTAAAGAGTTCGACTCGGGTTGGCTCATTGGAGGGAATGTCTATTGCAAAATACTCGGATTTCTCGTGGTAGTCGACTGCAACCTCCCGCCAAGGACGGTAATTCAGCTTGGCAATACAAACCCTCCCACGGATGAAGGATGAGGTAGAGACTGAGCGCTGACGTCTCCGAGGTTCGTGAGTAGAGTGACTGCCGGGCGAACCCGAGTCTGAACGTTCCAAGCCCCTCTCTGAACGGCGATGCGTTGTTCGCGACCGTGACCTTCGCTCTTCGTTGTTCTCATTGATTTCATGGGAAAGGGCTCGGACTGACTCTTGGACACAATGAAAGTCTTCTAGGTGTTGCTGGAGTGTCGTTTCAAGTAAGCTCTTCTTATCTCCTGAGTCGATAGATTCAACTGTCTGAGACATATTTCGTAGGTAGCTTCCCATAAGCGTCAGAGAGCCCAAGATCGCATCGATTCTACACTTCACTGGCGAATGCGTCATTTCATCATGACCTTCCTGTTGCGCGCCATTGTCATCGACGGTCGTCGTAGTCGCCATAGTTGAGTCGCTCTGTGTTTGGCCGGAGCTTCCGCTTGCCTACGTGACGATGAGCTTTGTTTCTTGCCCGCCAACATTTAGACATGTCGCAATGACATACCTCTAACATATCGCTTGGAACGACTTGCTCTTTTCCAGTGGTCGACATTGTTTTGCAGCCTCGGCGTTGTACCTGTTGCTCAGATTACGACTGGAGACACGATTTGCTCCTTGGTTGAGCGATGGGCAAGCGGGAAGGGTACAGCGTCCCATATTTGACGGTTCTCCATTGCGGTAGCAATGAAACATGTAATCCGGTAATTGCATCAGCAGCCACCACAGCCTGCTTGAGGTTACACAGAGAAGTGAGACCGGCTTCGTTTCGACACATTTGCATCAGCTCATTTTGCTGTAGATAAGCGCGCCTGCATCCTTACCCTGACAGAACTGTCCTATCAGGAGCATTTCTGAAGCCATGCGGCACCCTCTTCGAATGTATTGCCCGTCATGTATCCAAACAGGGAGTCACCTCACCGCCTTCATCCGGTTAAGCCCAGTCTTCCATGATGGAGCATAGGCACACCGCCAGCCTTGGCAAGGAATGTATATTGTCGGCCTGAAATGCGGGGAATCAGGCTGTGAGCATGGGAATAGGCGGTCTCGATGAATGCACTTTGATAAGAGCAGCTGAAAGTGACTAAATGTATCCATACGAGTAGTCCCTGATTTTACCTAACCTATAGTATCTATCCTCAGGAAAACATCACCCGTGACCAACAAGCTTGCTCTAGCAAGATAGTTCTCGTGCGATGGATGTCACGAATACAAGTTTGATCGAAACCGAGGAATACAGACGATGGATCAAACATCATGCATCTTCACAGGACCCTGCATGGGCGTTTGACGATGCTGTAAAGCGTCTGCAGATGCCCCCAGCTTCGCGAAAGTAAGTAACTCCGCTCCCACTCAAGAGTTTGGTTGTTCAAACGGCTTGCGATCATTAACGTGAATCGGGGTAAGGCTTGAAGCCAGCAAGCTTAAGTTTGACGAATACATCAAAGGATTCCTCTTGAGATCATCCGATTCGGCAACAAAGAACATTCTAGGGAACACAGCCTCGTGGGAGGATGTCCTCGTAGAAGCTAAAGCAGTTTGCGATAGGTACAAGACACAACGGAACATCTTCGGCTACAAAAACCGGTTGTTTACGACCGGGGCACGTCGTATTGAGTTTCTGATAGAGCTCGTACCAAGCGGAGACTATACTGGTACAATATGCGGCGGTCTCAAGCTGATCTGCAGTGTATGTTGTAGGCCTTTCAAGTCTAATTTATGTGATCTTCTAATAGGTACAAGGCGGCGAAGCGTCATCATGAGCTTGTCGACGTTGTGTTGAATGCTTTGGCTACCTTGTCACAAGAGATCGATGCGACCAAGACCTACGTTCGGCTCTACGCGTGGTCGCCGCTCCTTCGAAGTGCAGTCGAGACACTATACGTGGCAGTCCTTGTCGCAATCGAAGCAATGATCAAGTGGCTTGAAGGCCTCATGAAGGGTACGTTGCCACAGGTATCATTGACACTGAACTTGAGCTAATCGTGTTATTCTGATTTACTTCAGACTTTGGCGGCTTCAGGGCAGGACTCAGATCAATCTTCGCGGGTGAAAACTACGGTTCCGAACTACGAGACAAGATAACCACGAGCATCGACGAGGCTTCGGCCCACTTTGACGATGCAGTCAGAGAATGCTTCCATTTGAAATTTGATGGAGTTGCCGAGAATATACTCACACTTGGCAATTCCCTGGAAGAAGTTCATCAATTCCAAGGGGATGAATCAAACAGGAGGGCTGAGGAAGCTAAGCGACAAGAGATAGGATTGCAAAAGTCTTTTGAGGCAATGAAATCACTCGAGAATGTCGTTCATGGTCTAGCCCGGGACTCTAAGTGTATGGCCCACAATTCGCAGAATCCGAATGCTCTGAACTGACGTATATCGATAGGGCAAATGGAAGAGATCAAAGCCTTGAGGGCTGAAATCAATCAGCAGTGTCAGGGAAAGCCTCAACAGGTCACAAACCACTATCACCTATCCATCCCCCAAGTCACAGCTTCTCAATTATTGTCGGCACTTGGTTTCGGTTTGTTGTCGAACGCTGAGACTCAGGCGGTCTCTGCTATACAGAGAGATTCGGAGTTTGTCGTTTTCATGGGCAAATCGCTGAATCCACAAAATCAAGGCCGTATCACCTCCGTTACGCAGGACTTCAGATTTCAACATTGGTTCAAGTCGATGAACTCCGAAGTCTTGACCATTAGCGGCATGGAACTTGATGCACTGCACACCGATCTTGTTTCGCCCTTAAGCTACATGTGTTCAATACTTGCCCGGACACTTTCCCGCATTAATTGCGCTCGCCCTTTGGCATTTTTCTGCCGTCTGCACTGCGACCCAGACGGTCCTCTTCCTGGTTCCACTGGTTTATTGAGGTCATTGATCTCACAAATCGTTCTTTCTTCATCAGACCAAATTGATCTGGGGTTTCTAGCAGAAACAGACCTGCAAACCATTCGCAGTTATGATCTGGAAGTTCTCTGGGGCGTATTCGAGAATGTTGTAAACCAGCTGAGGTCCGGAGTTATCTTCTGTATGATTGATGGCGTGACCTTTCTGCAGAGTGAGTTGCACATCCGGGGAATGTATCTGGTCATGCAGTGGCTAGGAATGTTGGTGAAGGACATACAAGCGCGCAACAGCGGGCTTGTTTTCAAAGTGATGGCGACGAGTCCAGTTGGGAGTGAGTATTTCCGCGTGTGGTTCCCTGATGCCATAGAGATTGCCTTGCCTGGAAGCTTTTTGTCTGATGGGCTGGAACTTGACGAGCACAGGATGACATCGTTCGCGCAAGGCTCATTTTCATCTGCTTGAATTCAGTGCCGAAGGGGGGGTCTTGATGTTGCCAAGTCGCTTTGCGTTCCGTTATTTTCTTTTTTTTTTAATACTCTCATTAAGCAGACAGGTTTTTCAAGCATCCACATTTTGTCATCTAGCAAGCCGTAAATCTGGTGAACTATAATTTTGATTCCGTAATGGATCATGTCTTCCCGCCCGCCGACCATTCTGATCTTATTATGTCTGAATGTATAGCAGGTCTCTTATTACGTTTTGTTACAGCTAGGCATCGCTCGTCGTCAGTCTACGATCGAATCAGGAATCGTATCAGGAACAGATATCGCTTTCATCTTCAAGGCGTACGAAGATGTCGGCCCAGCGCTACAACTAGGTAGACGATTTGCCCCATGGCATTAATGTCGCAGAATTGGCCTATCTAAGGTTGGAATCTGATAATCCCTCGTACATTGTGAATCCAACTATTTACTCAATTGATTGATTGAACACTCCAAATTCGATACTTTCTGCCGCTGATCTTACTTTAGACGATTCTTCGAATCTCCTCAGCATTATGTCCCAGTCGCTTTGTGCTCAAAACCGTGGAACAATTATCTTATCTCATATCTAGCAGCTCACAGCGGGCGTGTCTCCGCGATCGGCATCGGTCGTAGCAGGGCATCCGCTGATGCACTTCCGGCAGACCTGTCCACTGCCCTCGGGTTCCGAGCTGCTGCAGCTTCCATCACAGCGGCCGGCATCGAAAGACTTGTAGTGGCAGTCGTAGCAGTCGCGACGCACGAGGTTGCTGCTCTCGGAAGGGGTGGCAAGGACGCCCGAGGCGACCAAGGTGATTGCGGCGACGATGGTGGCGAACTTCATGGCTGCGGTTCGGAGGCAATATTTCGACAAGTGTATAGGTAAGATCTTCCGTTCCTATGACAAGGATAAGTCGGTCAAGCTTTCGGTCAGCTTTGCTCAAAGTTGGAAACCTACCTTAGAGTAGACGTCGAAAATGATAATCAAGAAGTAAAGGATGCGAAGGTTGTGCTGTCGTGCCGTGTGACTATACATGGAAAGTCTTGCCAGCTTCGAGATTTATAGTCCAACTATGATTGCTTCTTCCACTGGGGAAAGAGCAGTAAGTGATCGCCGTTCCTGGAATAGCTTCAGGTGATGGATCGAGTCAGTCCTCACGTTTTCCTCGAGAAGCTGTTCCACGATCGACAAACCTTATTCTGAAAAGTTGCCATTCATAGCTTTGCCTGTGGATAATTTCTGCAATGAGTCTTTTCACTTTAATTGCCAATTCAAGCACAGTACCTCTGATACGCGTACTATTACGCTGCCTCCCGCTCGTTGTTGAAGATCCGGTGAGGCTCAGCAGTCGACGTATGCCTCCAGCGATGAAATAGCTGGTCGTAACTACGGACCTCAAACCTGGATTGAGTCATGGTTTGATAATTGATGCTGCAGATTATACATGCACTCAATACCAGAACTCAGACGATACGGACTTTCAACTTACCACTCAGTTAGGTTGATAGGGTCACGATTCGGACGGGTCCAAAAGCTTTCGCTCATTCCTCTTGACCATTGGAACTTTCGTGATCAGTCATGTCTTGTGTCCGCACGTAGTAGCGGTCAAACGTGTATAAGAGAACAAGGTCCCAGCCTGACTACATTCGGTTTCGTGTTCCCCCGCAGCTAAGTCGTCGCCTGCAAGGAGCAATGGTGAATAGTGGGCTCGAAATACCGGTGTGCGGATACTGTCCCTAAGATTGTTGAGTAATCTTGCATGCCGTGGGATCCGAGGGTCTCCATTTGTGGCCTTTCCTCTCTACGATACCGACGTCACGGCGCTGTGGAAAGCGCCATTCCCTACTAGTACTTTAGTTGACTCGACAGGTAGACAACCGCGCAAGTTGGAGATTCAAGACTCAGAATCTCCCATATTATTTGAAAGAATCGAGCTTGTAATTCCTCTATTTAACTCTATTTAACATTGTCCTGTTTTGCCTGATTCCCAGCGAACGATGAGCTGCTGGCCCTTCTGCCTTATGCAAACCTTCAAGTCCGTACCTTAGCGAGACCGAGCTTTCGGATCCGGCACGGAACTCGGACCAACCGAACTGAGTAATTTCAGACCTGTTCAGGACCCAAGGTGGTCTCCAGAGCAAATGACACAAGCCCCTATATGGGTATACGTTTTTCAGCTTGTCGAAGCTCCCAGCCCCATTAGGGAAACTGTCCATACCAATACTCATCAATCCTTCTCGGAGTCAGACAGCATGAGAGTCTGATCCTTGGTGGGCAATCCTCCGAGGACTGCATTGCAGCCAGGAGATCGTTTCAAATGTCTCTTGATGAAGGACGCCTTTGACAATTTTGTTCGGCATACCTGGCAACGTCGCCTTGGATCAGGTACGTTGTTCTCTTTGGACCACGTTTTGTGATAGCGAAAAGAGTGCTCGTTCCGCTCCTTGGATGTTGCAAATGTCATGGGGCACTTTTCGTCGCCGCATTTGAATCGTCGTTGGTGTCGTTTTCCGTGTCGTCTGTTGGAAGTTCAGATGTTTTGTGGGTTTGGCAAGGCATGGAAAGGGTCAGACTTACCGAAACTTTTCACCCGCCTCATACCACTTTTGATGCTCGAGACAGAAGACACGTCCTGGTTGCGATGCTCCAGAACAGTCAGTTCAGTCCTGTCCAAATACAGCAGGAGGAGTTCAATACCATCAACAACGAACAACAGGCTTGGTTGCTCCTGAAGGGTACCTTGACAGAATTCAGCCGGCTCATGACTTGGCGAGCGAAGGCCAGGAACATGTGTAAACTCCGACAACTAAGCCATCGGAGTAGGCCCATGGGGAGCTGCCCATATATTCGCATCGACGTTGGGGTTGTCGGATGGGTCTTCATTGGAAGCAGAAACCTCTACCATGAATTGTTGTTGAGTGCTACAGGATGACTCGGTCTCTATCGCCGATCTCTGGACCCTATCCCCAGCATGGTTGAAATTGGCTTCATACTCATCGTATTCTAGGCAGTGCGTAGGTTGAAACAAGTGATTGGTCTCAACACAATCGAGCAAATTGGGGTTGATGTCTTGAAGGGCTGTATCAACAAGGGCTGAGCTGTGATCTGTCTCAATCAGCAGATCGACCGGAGGCCAGCCTATTGGATCCCACGTGGACAAATCTTCATTGCCTAAAAGCTCTGTGAGTATAGTGCTAGGGCTCTCCAACTCCTCAAACTGCTCGGAAGATGCCTGGAAGCTCATGGTATGAGGCTTTCAAGGATCTCTTTCTCATCGAGTGGAGGAGTCGCCTGGTCCGATTGCGATCCGGACGAAGAAAACGTAATGAAAATGGAAAAAGTCAGCAGGCGACAGTCCGAACTGACGACATATATATACCTTCATATCATGTGTTCCCAAAAAAGAAAAGTGGGAAATGCGGGCGGGTATAGTCGTTTCGGTAGTCTGAAATCCGGTTTCCCAACCAAATCGAAGTTCACTGATCTCGAGCTGTTCAGGCCTATCGCTGCTTCAGACCTTATCTGTGTTGGCCTTACTTCGGGCTTCGCGGAGAAGCTCTCCAATGAGACGCAGAAGTGCATAGCCCTGTTCCTGGTCTTGATAGAGAGCCTAACCTTGAATCCGTTGGGACGAGCTAATACCTCACGGGATGGTGGGCTGGCCTCCTGCAGCTGTTACACAAAGTAAAGCGGCCAAGGATGACTACTTCCATAAGTTTGGTGGAATTACTACGTATATGTCGTCACGATCATTTTCTTATCCCGTGACATTGCGCAGACGTTTACGAAGCTGTATAAATATCTTGCGAATATGGTGGGAGCAACAGAGCAATGCTGAAGGACGTCGGCGCCTTTGATCTACCTATGCAGCAGTCGCTATTCAAGATCCATTTCTCAAATTCACCACATCAACATGGTTCCAGTTGCGACTTCACCACGTTCGTATCATGAGCCTCCTGGAGCTACATACAGCTGTCTATTTCATCGCCGCTGACTACTGCTACAGCTGGGCTTATCTCGATGAAGTCTCGAGTCATCAACAAGTTTTATGAGCCCCTGGTTCTTTTGAAGGCAATGAACGATGAGATGACAAGCCTGGCCGAATTCGTCGACCCAGATGATCTCAACTATCGCGGAGATGTGAAAAAAATCTTCCAGGCCTTTGTATACAAGCTAGCTCATGTTTGCGACAGTACCCCGGGTAACGGGGGCAGTACCGTCACCTCAATCATGCTGCTTCGCGGCTCCGAGGGAACAAATGTTGAGTATCATCTTGCATCAAATCAGCGATGTGCAGATGATCTCGAGAATGTCAGGGCATACCTTCAACATTTACTTGAGCGGGTTGACAGAGCATCAACGTCAGGAAGGACCTCGGAGCTGCGTAAGGACCTGCTGAACGCAGTAATCTGGTTCAACAGACCCAGAATCAACTCCTATATCGTCAGACTTGAGATTGAGATACAGCGTTGCATCAAGAATGCTCGAAATGGTAGGCCAAGCTGTAGAACGTTCGACGACAGTATAAATGACTTATCGTACGTTGATAGAGGAACCAGTCATTGAATCCCTGACAAGGACTCTCGGACTGCTTGAGTTTCACGATGACAGGATGGCCACTCAATCTCATTGTGAGTTCTACGCTGTTATGTATCAATGAAACTGCATGTTTCCAGGAATTTTTGACCTGATTAGATAATGTCGCAGATCTTGACAAATGTAATGCCCTTCTTCACAACCTAATAAGATTGAAAGCCTCTGAGATATGGGGATACATCGACCAACGAGCGACAGGGGTTCGTTTGGATGGAGTCACAAGCAGCTCCTCTTCTTGTTGGCCTGAACTACGGCATATGGTTAACCGTCTTCTGGCATATTGTAAGGATATCGAGTTCTTCCTTCTTGCGAAAGACAACTGGCCTGAGATATTTCGAAACTTCATGATCTTGGTTCACCCATCGAGTCACCCGCTCTCGCGACCAAGACGGAACAAAAGTATGACCGCCGAAGGCATTGTCGGTCGCATGACCCGCAAAGAAGACATCATCGAAAGATTCAGGCAATTCGTCCAAGACCTGCAAATCATGCACTTGGACCAAAGAATTCAAACAGAATACCAAAAAGACAACTTTCATCCAATTGTCCACTCGGAGATTTTGCTGCTTGATCACGTCGAGAAAACAGCGGGAGGCATTTCCCCTGACAGGTTCTTCAATAATTGGATGTACATCGGCAGCAGCAAGCCAACCTGCCGGCTCTGCGAGTACTACTTCGAGGAGCACCGGTCTGGCGTCGGGCATCGAAGCAGTCACAAGAACCTTTATATCAGCTGGCGCGTTCCTGATGTACTCCAATCCGAAGGTCACGGAGGCGAAGAGAAGCGACAAGTTATGGTCGATAGGTTGCTTTTGAGGATTCGCAAAGATGCCTTCAATCTCGTGGAGAAAAAGGTGAGGCCGACATTCAGGAACCACGATTCCATCACGTCATCCGTCAGCATGACTCTGCATGGGAAATGGAGCGAGGCTTCTGACATATCTGATGTCATGGCCTCAATGGGAAGTCTGCAATTGAACAACGATGGAGATACTCAGTGAGCGGAGTCAAATTTGAGGGATCTGCCCAAATTGGAAAGACACCGTCGCGAATTTTAGGTTTCATGTCAGAATGATTTTCACCAATACTTGACGCCTGAAGACGAGATCCCACCGGCGAACTGCATGCCTATAGTGGGATTCGCATTGTTATCTCCCTACTGTTTAATTAGCGCAATTACAAAATCGAGCTTAATCATGTGATGCGGTACACTACACGTAAGCGCTGGGGTGCTTTGTTGGTGGCTGAATCCCTCAGGTTCATTCATCTCATGGTCATAGACCCCGCACCTGTCGGTGGCGTGAAGAAGAGGCGTGATGTTTGCGTTCCACAACGTACGACCTCAACACCTGCTCGTTAGTCAAACCAACGCTCTTCATGCTCGTAATGCCTTCAAAAGTATTCAGTATATTTGAGTGGATATCTCATCATCCTATAACGGCTGCCATCGCACTGTTGATACCCGTAATACTGCTGGTTTGCCTCCGCCCGCCAAGTCAAGATGAGCCACCGTCACTTCCCGACGTCGTGCCTTTCATCAGCAATACCTATCAATACATGACGAATGTCAGAAGACTTATGGAGCGTGCAAGGTTCGTCAAGATGAAATGGCAGGTCGCTCTGTATATTGAGGCGTCGCTGACTTGTTACTTGTAAGCCGTTCCATGAATCACAGCAACATCGTCAAGTTCTACCTAGGACCAATGCGCGTATACTTTGTACAGGGGGGGGAAAGCGTGCAAGCCATGTTTCGATCGTCTACCAGCATCAGCTCGAACAAGTTCATCCTACTGGTCATGAGAAACCTGCAAGGGTCCGCCCAAAAAGATGTCGACAAGTTCGCAAACGATCTCTCGGGGCGGCAAAGAGTACCTGCACCCGGCTACGAAAACACACCGCAAGAGGAGCGATATTGGTACACTTTGCATCACATTACCGTTGAACATCTATCACGCGCAGAGCCCACCGCTCATTTAGCAGAGACTTACACAAACTTCTTTAACGAGGCTTTGGAAAAGCAACCTGTGGGCCAGTGGGCGACTGTTCGTCTTTTAGAATTCTTGAAGAGGGAGATGTGTGCGAGCGCCATCAGGTCATTCTGCGGCACCGAGTTATTAGAGATGTTTCCGGACTACGTCGAGCAGTTCTGGCGTTTCGATAGCATCGCTTTTCAGGTTGTGTATGGGCTACCAAAGTGGATCAACAGCGGTCCGGTAAATGAACGCGATAAGTTGAACGGCATGACGCAGGAGTATCTGAGAAAGGCCTTTGCAAAATTTGATTGGGACGGTTCTGTGGTGGATTCCATCTGGGAGCCCACGTTCGGATCAAGCTACGTTCGCAAGATGACCAAATGGCTTCACGACACAGATATGGCTCCGGAGACTCAAGCCGGTTTCTACATGATTGCGATCTTTGGGTACGTCTGACAGCTTCGTGTTGACAAGGTGCACTGATGCTAATCTGTCAGAATAAACGCGAACACAATACCAATCACCACATGGGCGATGATTGAGCTCTTGCGAGATCAGAAGCTGTTCCAAGCAGTTCGCAGCGAGGCCCTTGAGACCCTTAATGTGGATCCCGTTACCGGGAAGCGGTCCTTCAATGTATCCAAGCTCATCTCAATGCCGCTGATGCAGTCTATTTATACGGAGTGCATGCGTCTTCATGTCTCCATTGCGCTCTCCAGAGAAGTCGTCGAGACGACCACGCTCCACGGCTTCCGCTTGGAGAAAGGCTCAATAATTCAGGCCCCGACGCATTTTGTGCACTTGGACGAGCAGATATGGAGCCAGGAAGGACATTCTGCTTCTGAGTTTTGGGCAGAGAGACATCTAAAGCATGTGAAGAAAGTAGAAGAAGGTACTGATCGACTGACCACCGAAAAGCAGTTTGTATTGGCGGGAAAGACCAATGAGTTCATCCCGTTTGGTAAGTGGACTTTCCTGAGTTTCAATGACGAGGGGCATGTCACCACAATGACAGAGTAAACTAACATCATGCATAGGTGGTGGACCATCCATGTGTCCGGGGCGGTTCTTTGCCAAACAAGAGATTCTTCTCACAATCGCCATCCTTGTCACAAAGTTCGACATGGAGTTTGTTGAGTGGACAAATTTGGACGGGTCCAAGTCTGATCGACCCCCTGTGGATGATGAGCGGTACTTTGGTACAGCTGCTGTACCTCCGGATCGCGATGTCAAGGTACGGTGGAAGAAACTATGGTGACTTCTCCAACTCCAAGCCTTCTTACGAGTTGGTACGTGAAGTCATGTGTGATAAGTGACCTCAATAGTCCCCAAAATCCAATCTTAACTTCGACTGTGGGTGTATGTTCGCAAATTTGCTCTTTAGTGAGCCATGATTTCTGGTTTAATATGTGCCTTATATACTTCTAATGATGAACTATGAACATGAAGGGAATCCCACGGTGACGGTTCACAACTGCGAAGTTGTCATCGGAAATGAGACGGACACTGTTCCTTAAGCGTCACTCGGAAGAATAGAAGGGTCAGCATTCTCGACCAGCATCTGTACATACTCATCGAACCAAGCACCAGCCCTAGGTGCACCCTCAAGACCACAGCGTCCGTCGCTCTCGCCACCTGGCTTCACCCACACGATGGAGTCAATATGGGTGTTGTTCACCGGCGTGCCGGGCTGCATACCGAACCCGGCTGGATGGACATTGCACCATTCACCCCACTCGGCTCTGCTGTTGGAGACACGGCCTTGATCGATGATAAACCGGGATGGCAGATCTTCAGCCTCCAGGTAGGGAGAAAGGGATAGCGCGTAGTTGTTCTCGTCATACGAGTTGCTCCATTCTGTGTAGTTGGCGCGGGGGTTGGCGTGGAAGGGGTTGTAGTTTGAGACGTTGGTCGAGAAACCGCGGATCTTGGTGTTATTGCCGGCCTTCTGGACGACCTTGGCGAAGAGCTTCGCGGCTTTGATCTTTGTCAGTAACTCATGTCGTCGGAAAGTGAGTTTTTGTCAATCACGAGACTTACAAGGCTCTAGGTTGTCGTTCCAGCCTAGCCATCCACCATGAGCAGCATCAATGTAGAGGTTGACGTTATCATACTGCAAGCTTGAAATAGCATACGCAATACCATCCTCGTACACCGGTTGCGCCTTGGCACAGAACTCGATTCCCAAGTTCGTTACAAGGTTCGCCAAGGAATCCGGCTCGAGAACAACGGCAAAGGTCAAGTCACTGGCAGCAGCTAGCTTCTCTGCGTATGGCTTGACAAAGGTCTCCTTGTACAACTCAAGCCCGTTGTTCTCGCTGCTGAATTCGCCAGCACTCTCTCCTGCACTGCAATCTCTGTCAGGGAGGTCGTAGAGTACCAGACCGACAATTTGCTGCTCGCCCGTCTTAGACTGAACGGCACGGGCTCGTTCAATAGCCGTGTCGATATTTGCTAGACCAGCAACGTCCGCAATCCAGACAAATGTACCGATATCTTGGATGGTTCGGACCTTGCCTGCGTTTACAGTGTCACCCTTGGCGACGAAGGCATCATGAGTCTGTTCAAGCTTATCGGCCCAGTCTGGGTTGGCGTAAAGCTTCTTCCCGTCGAAGGGGTTTGTTGTGTCGTTGCCGGTGCCTGCACGGCGGAAGTGATGTCCTCTCGTACCAAAGCGAGGTGATGCCGATACTGCTCCTAGGGTAGAAAGAAGAGTTAGAAGTGAAGCGAAATGCATTTTGACGATTGTCTGAATGAGCAGCTACTCGACCGGCGGGTTTGCTTGCGTGGATGTCAACTCATTCGCAATATCTTCTCCGTGTAGCAAACTTGCTGCTTCTTATACCTCGAGAGCTGGTCCAGTGATCACGTTTGCTACGGCAGTGTCTCTCCCATACCGGAGTGAATGTCGCCAGGTCAAGAACGGAACCAAAGGCGCCTCGCTACAATGCGACGGTTATGATTTACCAAAGGGCCGTCAACACAGTTCTCCGTCCGAGAAGCCTAATTGAGAGAGGATCGACGCACAATTCAGGGCAAAGCGCCAGACTCGATGCATTATGCGATGGTGAAATGTGAGAAATAGATTGCAGGCCGAACAATCGTTGGGTTCCGGCTGCCGTCCCTGGCAGGTGGCTAAGATCTGATTTGTCGGAAAATAACAAGATGCTCGAATTGCCGAGCTAGGCCAAGATCCTTGATTGGAACCGACGGCTTCTCTTCCGAACTCCCAATTCGGAGCCACCTACCTGGTCACTCACCTCTGGACAACTGGCCTTTTGGACTTTCTATTGTGAGCCTGTAACTCAACAGCACTAAAATTGATTGTTTCAAAAGCATACTCACTGGCTATGGAGAGTTATGCACGTGATTTTTGACATTCCTTGATTCGGGATATCGGGCTGGTGAACCGTCAACCCACAAGGCCTAAGGACAGTTACATACCGTAGTCTACCTATTAAGATACACGAAGCTCTTCTGATTGTGTTACTGCTGTTCGTTTGTAATTGTCTTAGTCAGCTTATCAGATGGCATCTTACCTACCTCAGTGCGCCAGGGTCTCCAACGTTGATGGAAGGGCTCACTCACACCATCTAGCAAATATTCTGCCAGTGGCTAACACTCATATTCGTGGGACCATTTGAACAGATTTTAGTCGATTATATGTATAGAATCTTGGACTCTGTCAGATGTTTCTATTGCTAATGGCTCTCTCCATCTTGCAAAACCAGGATCTCTAGACCGAACAAGAATCTTTGAAACTAGAGCATAACAACACCGAGCCTTATACGCCCTTTTTTGCTTCTCATAATCGTCAATCTGTGTTTCATTCGGGTGCTTCAGTTGCGGCATGAAATTATGCGAGCGAAGGCATAAGAGCTCAACATGTTATGCCTTTGACATGTTATGCCTTCTTCGCCTACAAGTAGTCATCACCCGTGAGACGACCCATTACTGGTGAGATTTCTCTCCGTAAGCGACAGTCTTGATCATACACACCCTTCTTGTTCTATGAAAAGATGATTAGTATACCAGGATCACTGCAAATCGCTTACCTATGTTGGGACAATAAGTATCTTACTTCTAAGAGTACTTACCTACAGTAGAGTATCTGACAATCCATAGAGTCCTAGTACCTACTTGAAACGACGTGTACGACATCCCACTTAATCAAACATCAGGAGTAGAAGGAATGTCAATCACCAGGGGGTCGTCATCCCAGCTGTATCTCACGATAGTTTCAATGCCTCCATTGTCGTTTTATGTCAATGGCTCCGGAGGGATAATTGACGTCAAGGTTTTGCCAGCAAGCGTTCCATGATCCGTTCAATCCTCCCAACGGCGCCGACCAATTCGTTCTCTCCCGATTAAGTGTCACACGAGCTAGAAGACGATCCTTGCAGGTGTCAGCATATTAGCGGGCATCCTACCAGCCAAATCGACGAGTTATGTGCAGCCCAGTAGCCAACCATCTGACCGCTAGCTTAACGCGGAAATCCCATGAAACATAAGACGCGTATTTCAGCGGCTTATCTTCATCTAAGACATGATTTGACAGTGAACTGGTTCCACTGCCACTATGGTTCCTTTTTCCTTATACGCGAGAAAGAGGTTGCTAACGCCCTCGCGACACCCTAGTGGTTCTAGCGCTGATACGATCTACCGAATACGGTCAGCATTTCGTACGCGAAGGATCCTAGGCGGCAGCGTAGCAGGGTCCCTCAGTAAGCTTTCCTCCGCCTCCGTCGGCGAATTTTTACTCCCTGATTGCACGTCACCGCTAAGGTTTGCGAAAACGAGAGGACTGAAGGGCCCCAGAGACACGTGGGGAACGCGGAGAAGGCGTTCGTGGAATCCGTAGTCCGTTCGAACTGTGTGACAGATTGCGACGTTCAGGGTTCAGCTGGGGTCGTACAGCGTACAAAGATCCGACTGCCCCGCAAGACAAACTTGAGACGTTTATCGATCTCGTCGATCTCCGTCATCAGTGTGTTCTCTTTGAAGCATCGATAATATGTTGTGGCTACTGTGGGCGCCAGTCGCTCTCGCGGCTGTAATCATCGCAGTGGATCGACTGCGTAAGAAGATAAAGCCGAATTACGGGCTTCCACTCGTTGGATCTCCTAATGAACGGAGCCTGTCTTCCGCTATTATCGATGGCTATCAAAAGGTGATTTTGCCGGGCTTCCTGTACTTCCTACTGAATCGTCAACTAACCGAGACCCGAATGACAGTATCCAGACACGGCGTTCGTGGTTCCAAGCGATCCCCCAAGGGTCATGCTGCCAATGAACCTATACCAAGAGGTTATCCAAGCACCAGACTCTGAGATGTCCTTCGCTGCTGAGATTTACGACATCTTCCTCGGCCGCTACACTCACGTCGGCGAGAGTCGATGGGAAGTAATCGAGGCCGTACGAATCGACTTGACAAGGAATATGTCTGGTGTTCTCCGGCCAATTCAGGAGGAAGCTAAATTCGGCTTGAGTCAGCTAATTGGAAATTCGGCAGAGTGGAAGACTCTCAATAGCTACCATCTAGTTCTCCGCATGATCGGGTTGATGACTGGCCGGGTCTTCGTTGGCATGCCCTTGAGTCGCGAGGAGGACTGGATTAGGGCTTCGATTACCTTCGCTACAGATGTGGGCAAAAGTCGTATGGCTGCCCTCCGATGGAACCCGTGGATCAGGCCTTTTGTCCTCCCGTTTCTTCCTGAGGTGCGCCATACGCGCCGAGCGCTTCAAAAAGCAAACGAGCAGATGCGACCTTTGGTCAAGGAAGTTCTCCGAAGTGAGAGCTTGCCTGGCGAAAAGCCGGCGAAACCAGGTGCTCCTGGGGCTTTCGTATCGTGGATGATGAAGTATCTGACTGCCGAGGAGAAGACTCCAGAGACAATGGGGACTAACCAGATGTTGCTTTCGTTTGCTGCCATTCACACAACTTCCGGCACAACCACGTTGGTATGAACCTAGATTACATGCTGAATGGTCCAAAGTTCGAGCTAACGTTTTTCAGGCTCTTCACGACTTGCTTGGCCGCCCCGAGTACATCGAGCCTCTGCGTGAGGAGATTGAAGAAGCCATCAAAGAAGATGGTGTAGAGAAAGACGAAAATGGGCAAGTGTTCCTTTCGAAGTCTTCTATGGGCAAGTTGAAGAAGCTCGATAGCTTCATCAAGGAAAGTCAGCGCACAAGTCCATTGAGCTTTGGTAAGTTACTCCTATTCTAGTATCAACTCGAGTCCAAAACTCACCTAAGGGAAAAGCCGGCACATCCAGAAGGCTTCGCAAAGATCAGACCTTTTCCAATGGCATGAAGTTGCCAGCTGGAACAGCCATCTCCTTCCCATTGTGGGCTGTATAGTAAGTCGCACACGCCATGAGGCTTTGATGCCAGAGCCCAGGTGAAACTCAAAATCAGAGCGAGGCTCACAAATCCTAGTAATTCTACCACAACAAAGACCTTCAGCCCAGAGTATAATGCCGAGACTGGCAATGCACCACCAAGCGAATTCGACGGTTTCCGTTTCGCACGCCTACGAGATCAACCAGGTCGTGAGATGAAGCACCAAGCTGCGACAACTGGACCAGATGCGTTCAACTTTGGGCATGGCCCGCACGCATGTCCGGGACGCTTCTTCGCTGTCTATGTGATCAAGTGCATATTCATTGAGTTGTTGATGAACTATGACATCCATCTGAAGGGAAGTGCCGGTAAGACGACGGAGAGACCACCGAACCAAATCAACAAAATGATCGTGCAACCGAATTTCGGGGCCGAGGTTGAGGTGCGAAAGCGTACGAAGGTTTGAACTCGGGGACTGGCTTTGAACATAAAGGGGCCCGAGATGTTTTAAATAAGACTCATAATCTAGGCGAGACGAGCAATCATTTTCAATAGCAGCAGAGCGATATTCAAGATTCTAAAGTTTGCAACCAAAAGGGTACCCGGGGCGCGAGTCTTTGACTACTTGGATCACTGATCGAAGGGCAAAAAGATGATGTCAATCGCTGACGGGAATTGAGCCCGACGTGGCTGGTAATTGTTAGTTATTGTACTGATGCTGGTGATCGTGGAATGAGGCTTACGGGTCGAACCCACAACCTTGAGATTAAGAGTCTCACGCTCTACCGATTGAGCTAGCCGGGCAGTTATGAACAACTGCTGGTTGTTGAAGCGGCGGCTTCGTCGGTGGGATCATGTAGATGGGGCACGATACTATCGAGACCCTAGACTCAGGGCACCAAAATTTTCGAATCTAAGTGAGGCCGAAGTGGATCGTGGAACCAGGCCAAACCATGTTAATGTAAAACCCTTGGCGGCGGACCATCGGCTGCGTGATCGACAGGCCCCATCATGAATAAGGAACCGTCAAGTTCGGATGAACCGCCCAACAATTGTGCCCAAGAGACTCTTCGGACGGCGAGAATGCGAGAGGATGGAAATAGAGATCACTCTGCGTGGATTGACGCCATCTGGCATCTGAGCCAAGCAAGTGCCGAGTCGCGGGTGAGTCTCCCTTTTTGCAGCACACGGAGCGTCACACTCCGTCTTCAAATACATGAAGGCCAAGCCCCCTTCCGTCATCCCGGTTCGATGCTCTGAGGCCCCGGCAAACATGCTCAATCAAGAGAGACGGGATGGATTGTGGAGACGCAAAATTAACCTCCGCCACCCCTGGAATCTTAATGATCACCATACCCTTCCCCGGTGAGCCCCCTACGGCACACGGCGAGATTGACACAACGAGGGGGACAGTTCGGGACGAAGGGAGAGCCGCCCGACTTTCGTTTATAACAAACATTGATATCCCACCGGCGAAGCCACTCCTCTGGTTTCTCGGGACGATGCTGTTTCAGCTAATCTTTTCGATTCTCTTCCTTTTCTTGTAACATCCCCGCGTTGATCTTCCGTGAAATCATGGCGAGATCCACGGCGCTTTCTCTCCGTGCCGTCCTCGCGTTTGCCGCTGGCGTGTATTCGCAGAACTGCATCGGCAGCACCGGAGCTAAGGTCTACGAGGCCGAAAATGGGGTTCTCAACGGAACCACCGTCGCGACGGAGCAAGCTGGCTTCACAGGTATGGCACGGTTATCATTCAATATTAGTCTCATCGTTTATTGACTTTTGGTGGTTCACAGGCACCGGCTACGTAACTGGCTTCGAGGATGCCACCGACAAGGTCACCATCAACCTGGACTGCCAGGGCGAAGGACAGAAGCTATTCGACCTCAACATCAGATACGCTGGTATCTACGGCGAGAAGCGCACCAATGTCATTCTCAATGGCGGTGCCGCTAGCGAGGTGCTCTTGGCCGCGACCGAGACCTGGGCCAACGTCTCCGCCGGTCAGGTGCTGCTCAACGAGGGCAACAACACGCTTGACATTGTAACGCACTGGGGATGGTACCTCATCGACTCCATCACGCTCACGCCCACCGAGGCCCGCGGACCTCACAATGTCAACACGGCTCTCGTCAACGCGAAGTCCAATGCTGATGCCAACGCCCTGTACACCTACCTTCGCTCCATCTATGGCAAGAACATCCTCTCCGGTCAGCAGGAACTCAACTACGCGAACTGGGTGAACGAGACCATCGGCAAGTCACCCGCCCTCGTCAGCGTCGACCTGATGGACTACTCTCCCAGCCGCGTCGAGCGGGGAACTGTTGGTACTGCCGTCGAGGAGGCCATCATCCACCACGAGCGCGGTGGTATCGTCTCCGTGCTCTGGCACTGGAACGCGCCTACTGGTCTGTACGACACGGAGGAGAACAAGTGGTGGAGCGGTTTCTACACTCGCGCCACCGACTTTGATGTCTCAACTGCCCTTGCTGACACCACCAACGCCAACTACACCCTCATTATCCGCGACATCGACGCCATCGCCGTCCAGCTCAAGAAGCTCCAGGATGCCGGAGTCCCCGTTCTTTGGCGCCCACTTCACGAGGCCGAGGGAGCGTGGTTCTGGTGGGGAGCTAAGGGCCCCGAGGCGTGCAAGAAGCTCTGGGCTCTGGTCTACGACCGTCTCACCAACCATCATGAGCTGAACAACCTCGTCTGGATCTGGAACTCGGTTGCTGCCGACTGGTATCCCGGCGATGATACCGTCGACGTTCTCAGCGCGGACGTCTACGCTCAAGGCCACGGCGTAAGCTTATTTTCATTTTCTTTCCTTTCACAGAATCCGTTGTTAACATGACCACAGCCCATGACGACTCAGTATAACGACCTCATCACGCTCGGACAGGACAAGAAGCTCATCGCGGCTACCGAGGTCGGCAGCGCTCCCTTCCCCGATCTTCTCCAGGCTTACGAGGCCCACTGGCTGTACTTCTGCGTCTGGAGCGATGGCTTCATCAACAACACCGAATGGAACAGTGTCGATGACTTGAAGAAAGTGAGTAGCATTGCCAACCCCTGTCTGCGCCGTGCTGGGCCTCTGGTACTAACATTTGAACTCAAAGATCTACGAGAGCGAGTATGTCCTCACTCTTGACGAGATTCAGGGATGGAGAGGTTGAGGATCGGGATATCGAGAAGAGCTTGCCTTCTTCTACTACCTTCTCTGTAAATACTTTTACCAAATCAGTGTATAAAAATCAAAGACTGCTGAGTCTTGTCTTCGAATTTCTCCGCGAGAACTCAGTTCGGTCTGTCCGGGGAAACGGCGCCAACCCTGGAGTTGCTGTCTTTGTCAACACACTGGACGAGCCGACGGATGGCCTGATCGGGACTAAGATGAGCGTCGATGAGCTGTTACGCGTCTTTCAACCGGGTCCTGGCCAGCCATCTAGCCCCGAAATTCTAGACCCGAGTTTAGCCCTGCAATACGACAAGCGCACTTTGGGAGAAAATCCTATACCTTTGACGTCAGCAGCTTCTGTCATCAATGCACCGACAAGCAGCGACCCTGTGAGCAGGGACTGGCCTAACGATACCAAAGGGGATTTTGACGAAGGGAATGACGAAGGGGATGACGAAGGGGATGACGAAGGGGACGATGAAGAGGACTACTCAGGGAGTGACATGGAATATTCCGATATCGAAGGGTTTAAGGAATTGGAGTTTGACGAGAACCCCAGCGGGTATGTCCCTGGCGAAGAGCTCAGAGTCATAAACTTTCGGCGGAACCGTGGTGTCTATGGACAGCCAACCTGGAGAGACATAAAGGGTTATATGGATGGAGTCCGACTCTGATTCAGACTTCGATGGCGCGTTCTATAATAAAGAGGAACAAGAGTGGGAATTCCGATACAACCCGCGCCGGTTTAGGTAAGGAACACTGGGTGCGACAAAGTATTGGATGGGCTGTCTACGTGTAATATCAATTGTATATCTTGATGGGCTTGAATTTGTACCTGCAAGTTTGCAGCTTGTTCCCGATTATGCTCAACGTGAACGGGAAAGCGACTCTCATCGCCCATTTATCTTGCAGATTTCAATGTCTGCCTTGCAGCCTGCTCTTCGCTAAGGTCGCTTGAGTAGATTTCTTTTAACCAAGTAGTCATCTGTGAATTGACCATCTTCGGTAGTCTCGGTTTTGATTTCCGACTTCTGGAGGTCATTACATCGCTTCTTGGCGAGAACCTTGCTCATAGAATGGCACAGTAATAGTAATTCCACGTGACGTCACGCGTCAAAGACGCGATGTGGTCCCGCCTTGCCCAGCCTCAGATTGCCGTTCCTTGTTCACAACTCCATAGACATCCAAGTTGTCGAGACTATACCCCAAATACGGACACCTTGACACGGGGTACTGAGTGCGTCTATCCCGCGTTACGCTCTTTCAAAGGCAAAGAATATACATCCGCAGGCAACGCAGGCAACTTAGGTAACGTAGAATGCCTGGGAATGGCGCCATTCACGATTGATATGCGGAATGTTTCCGGAGCCATCAATGGGACCGAGATGGAAGAGACGAGCGATAACCCAAGCCAAGAGCTCACTGCAATTTACCGGCGGTTGATAGAGGTCGATCCGACCTTCAAAAAAATCATCAACCACAACCCAGAACTTAGCCTGGAGGACTGGAAAGCACGCAAGAAGGCAAATCCAAACGAGCTCGGCCCTTACTCGGACCTAATCGAACAAGGATTTGCCCTTCGAGCACACGTTCACGGCATTCTCAACCCGACGGACAGCAGGCTTCTCAACTTGCCCTTCGAGCTCCTAGATCTGATCTGTTCTCACGTCGACGCCGTCTCGGCAAAGGAAAACGATTTCACCTGGGCGCAGCCACACAAGAGGCGAAAAGTAGACATTGAAGCTCTCCAGTCCCTTCGTCTGTCTTGCCGCCGTCTCTGCGAAGCAGCATCCCCTTACTTGGTTCCTACCATTACGGTCCACGTCACACGGAAATCCCTCGATCGTCTGAATGCAATTTCCCGGCATGCGACCATCGGACGAGGCGTGCGCTGCATCCGCATTCCCCTAGGCTTCTACGATGGACTCGCGGCATACGCACAAGAAAATTTCATTCTCTTGGCGAAGCACGAGCTCCGGAACTTGTTCCGTCGGGAACTCTCGCATGGGATGACGCGTCAGGACATGCTGTCTGACGGCGCAAAAGAGAATCTTCAGGCGATATTCGATCTTTTGGATCGGCTCACCGACGACGAGCCTTGGGACGAGGAGCGTTCAAATGCATTTCACGAAGGATTCATTGGTAAAGCATACGATAAATACGCGCGCCTTGAGGCCGAGCAAAAGCACCTTCACGACGATAGGTGGCACAGCTTCTCCGATACTGTGTCATTTGCAATGAAGCGGATGCCGAGCGCGACGAGACTGGAGATGAGCGATTCGTTTGAACCGCAGTGGACTCCGCCTGAAGGAGACGCCCTCGTCAACGAAGACGAACTTTACCAGTACCTGATAACTCCTCACCGATGGGAGCACGCAGCCACAGCGGTTACTGAACTCGAAGATGACCTCATGTGCGCTCGACGGCCGTTCGGATTCATTCCAGGCATTCTCGGAGCTACTGGGGTTTTCCTGACACGGTTTGCTGTGCGAGTCACCCCGATGCACTTCTGGGCTGCATTTGAGACAGTCGGGGATGAGCCGACAATAGATGAATACAATTGGGTTACTGAACAGCTCCGTTGCTTCGAATTCACGAGCAAATACTTGCTCAGCGAAGGCCCTTCCAGAAGACCCCAGGTCACCTGGTCGAAGTTTCACGATGCGGCTGACTTTGAAGGTTGTGGGAAGCTTCTCAGTGTTCTTACCACGACGGACAGTCTAGAGCGCATCTCGATCGACTTGGAGGAGTTCAGCCACGATGCAGACACAATCGAAATCGGACCACAAAAACCGTGGCATTTCAACTGGTTTATCCAAACGCAACCATGGCCCAATCTCCAACGACTTACACTTTCGAATGTGCGTCTCAACTCTCACGACTTTGGCGTGCTTCTTGGCGATAGAGAGATAGAACTCAGTCTGAGCTCTGTTGAGATGGTTCAAGGTACGTGGGAGGAGACATTGGATATGTTGCGGCGCAAAGCCGACGCAAAGCAGCGGGGAGAGCAGGGTCTCGCGCCGCTTAGAATTATGGCTTTGACAAGTCTGTCTGGGGCTGAGTGCAAGGAGATGGGCGAAGATGAGTACCGCGTCTTGAGTCTTGCGGCTCAGGGCTACGTGTGGCATCTTCAAGAGAATAATCCTTTCCGATGGCGTCCAGAGGACTGATGTTCCGCCATGATTAGAGGTAGATCTGGGGAGGACAGTGCTGCAAGCAATTGAAGCTTTTGATGAATCCAAATAGAGACATAATTGTTGGATTCCAGTCTCTCGAACCCTAGCAAATCGCATCCCTAAGTCAGAATCAACTAAACGCGTCTCATCGCTGTGACTGAGAATGCAACCCCGCACTTTTCGATTGCCCCTCTACCCCACCAGTTTTTACCCCTCCATAGTACTTGAACAGCGTGAATAGGAAAAGAGACAACATTGGAACCTTCAACCAATCTGGGTTTGTATACGTCAGATTCGATCAAGTACTCAGTATGGAGGACACAATGAAGCCTCATGTAGTTTCATCGGAGCCACTGGTGAGTTGCAATAAGTTAAAATGACGCGTTGATTCAACAAGCACGGCTAATGCGTCTGGTGATCGAACACGCAGGAGATTGGAGATGCTAAATGGATGACGTTGGTCAAGTCGGTTCCCCCTCAGACAATGATCTCATACGAAACTACACTGTAATGTCTAATAGACCTGACCGGACGTTTAGGATCAAGTACAGAGACGTGGATGGTAAAGACCGCGTCTGGGAAGGAGTTGAGAGAAAGACACGCGCAGCAGGCAGCTCAGTCGACGCGGTGCATATCGTTGCCGTGTTAAAGAAAGAAACTGGCCCAGAGCTTCTGCTTCAGCGACAGTTCCGCCCGGCTGTGGGCAAAATCTGTGTCGAACTTCCCGCTGGACTGCTGGACAAAGGCGAAACCATCGAACAGTGCGCGATCCGCGAACTCGCAGAAGAGACAGGCTACGTCGGTACCATCAAGCCGGATTCGTATGTGAACAGCCCAAAGCTTTTCGGCGGTAAGTGACCAGTTCGCAAATCAATCTATGTTTTGGAGACTTCCGACGCTAATACTTCTCAAGCCCCTGGTTTCTCCAAGTGTGTCACGCTCAGTCCCTGTCTTGGCTGGCCTTCGAAAGTTGACTCTCCCTAGTTCGTGCTCTGTTATGGTCCATGTTGATATAGACATGCAAGCAGAGGAAAATCGCAACCCCAAGCCGAGCTTGGAAGAAGGAGAGTTCATCGAGTGTTTCTCACTGGCCTTGACCAGCCTTTACGTCGAATGTAGGAGGCTAGAGGCCGAAGGTTATGCTATCGATGGAAAGCTCGGGTCTTTGATAGAGGGCTTTCAAATGTCCCAGGTGTGGCGGACCTAACACCGAATGATTGGACCATGTGGCTTTCAGGGCTCTCTGTCAAATAACAAAGATGACCATGGTTCTAAAGTCGTCTTGATGGAAATGGTCCCTCTGACATAATCACGCGAATCCTTAGTCACAGGGTGAGAACAGGTTTTCTTAGGGAAAGCCTGAACAAGTCTCTCGGCGATACGAAGGCTACCCAACGGATGAGTTAGTGGTGATATTGGATCATGAGGGCGGTATTCACGATGTGCCGAACCATTTGGATCGAAAATCTGTTAAAGGTCTCCTGATACGAAGAGCCCTGACCGGTTTACATGCTCGAAGGGGTTCACCGTGGTCACATCAGGATCATGATCGCGTAGACTCATAAATCATAGTTCAACCAAGTGCTACGCTCACAATTTGAGAGACGACTTAATGGGGACAACACAGGATGAAAAATTTTCAATGGATGAATGATTGTCAGGATGTGTGAGAGCCACCCCAAATTGGTATCATAACAAAAGGCAAATCAACTTCTACGTACACGAGACTGATCCCACAAACCAATCAGCTTCTACTCAAATCTCAGAAACAAAGAAAGCCAAAAAGGATCATTTCTTTTCCGTACTCGCCGTCGTCTCCGAGTCAACGTTTCCCGGGATCTTTCCCTCCAGCGTGCCCTCCGGCCCAGGCTGGAACTCCTCCTTGGCAACCGGGGGTCCGTGGAAGTTCTTTCTCGCGTAGGCAAAGTACCAGGTGATGGCAATGAAGGCGAAACCGGCAAACACGACGGAGGCGTAGTTCATGGTCGAGGCGTCGACGGGCAAGCTGACGGGCATGCAGAAGATGATGACGGCGAAGCAGATCCAGACGATGCAGATGCAGTTGATGGCGGTGCCGAACTTGCCGAGCGGGTAGGGCGAGTTAGCGACGGCGCGGCGGCGCTGGATGAGGTTAACGAGGACGGGCACGCCGTAGCTGGTGGACAGGCAGATGGTAGCAACACCGGTGAAGGAGTTGAAGGCGGCGCTGGAGCCAAAGTAGATGCAGCCAAGAATCATGTCGACACCCGTAGACAGACCGAGGGCCCAGAGGGGCATGTCGAGCTTGTGGTTGACGCGGCTCCAGAGCTTGTAGCCGGGGATGGCGCCGTCGCGGGCGAAGGCGTAGGTGCAGCGGGAGGCGGCGGTCAGAGCGCCGATGCCGGCGAACATGAGGATGCCGAGGATGAGGAAGAGGAGGCCGAAGCCACCGGCGGCGGAGCCGGTGACGGTCTTGAAGAGGAGACCGATGGGCTGGGAGTTTGCGACCTCGAGGAGCATGGTGACGTCGGGGAGGACGAAGAGAATGGGGATGAGGTAAATGACACCGGTGACGCCGGCGGCGGCGACGGAGAGGACGATGGCGCGGGGGACTTCGCGCTCGGGGTTCTGGACTTCCTCGCACATGGAGGCGACCATGCCGTAGCCGGTGAGGGTGTAGGCGGCTAGTAGAAGTGTCAATTGGAGTGTATTCGTGAGCATAGGGTTATGGCGAACATACCTTGGAGCAAACCGACGAAGAATGACCAGCCAGGAGCCCATCCACTGGCGGAAGCGTCGTAGTGGGTGAAGACAAACTCGGCAGATCTCTTGCTGGGGGCCATGACCAGGATAGTGATCATGATGATGAGAACGGAAGCACCAGTCCAGTAGATGCAGACCTGAAAAAACATTCGTCAGCATTCTCGTTCCGATGCTGATTTCTCATAGCATGCCAAACCCACCTTGTTGATCAGATCCAGGTACCGCGATCCAAACGCATTTACTCCAGCGCAAACCAACATAACAGCCCAGAAGCAGAGCACAGTTTGCCACGTATTGGCAACAAAGTCCTCGTTGAAAACACTAATCGCACTGAGAATCAACTGCGCACCGCTAAAGTTGATACTCAGGGTAACAGTCCAGTTGCCGACGAGGGTAAGCCACCCGTCCACGAAGCTGACGAGCGGCGCCCAGCCGGCGGGGGCGAGCATGGCGGACCAGTAGTATACGCCGCCGGCAGTCGGGTAGACGGCGCAGATCTCGGCGAGGGAGGCGGCGATGCAGAGGGAGATGATGGAGACGAGGACCCAGCCCCAGAGGACGGTGACGGCCTGGCCGTTGGTCAGGGTGATGTACATTGTGGTGCTGAGGCCGAAGGGGACGGCCATGATGGCGAAGGAGAGGCCGAGGATGGACATCATGGACAGGTTGCGCGGGAGCTCGGCCTTGTAGCCCAGCCTGGCGAGGGCCTGGTCGGCGGAGACGCGGGGAGGTGCTTCCATGTTTGCGGTCTCTAGTCGTTGGTGATTGTGAGGTTCTGAGTGTTGGTGGTTGAGGGTATCGTGTGGTGTCAGTCCACGGGTGGTAGACGACTCAATCGAATCGGTAGGACGTCGATTGGCGTCTGTAGATGACTTAATGGCTTTGTTGGTTGTTGTAGAACCCCGGATTCGGACAGCCTCGCTCGGTGACGTTTCTCGCCGGGGGGAACGGGGTAGACGGACGAGTTTGCGGGGGAGGAGTCTGGAGATGCGGCAATTGAAGAGCAGGAGTATTAAATGAACGTAATGGAAATGTTGAAAATGCTGGCACAGACACACACCGCACTCCACGAAGAAATGGTAGGGGACCGCGTCTTTTTGGCAGTGAAGAAAAAAGACCGCGTGCGTTACATGGGAACCGAGGTGTGTGGTAAGAAAAAGGGGACTAAGCCATTCTTTAGTAGCCCAGACTTTCTCTCTCCCAATTGTCTCCATCAGCTTGTTCGTACGGGACTAGAACTAAACCACGTTCAACACACGCAAGAAGAGTGGTCTCGGTCCAGGGTACAGACTAGACTAGTCTATCCGGCAGTCAAGCTTGAAGCAAGCCAGGCCCGGCCCAGTACCATCTACGGGGACGGGGCGAGTCACACACACATTCAAATGACACAGAAGCGCGGCTACGTCCAATGCGACAAGAAACGGACGGGAGGGCCTGGCTGCGGCCGGGGGGTGGCACTGGTAGGATAGAAGGGAGGAGGGGGGACCCCGGCCTTGGGCATGGAGCTCTCTCGTTCAAGACGATGCGCTAATCTTTTGCTCCTCTTCTATTTGACAATTGCCAGGCTGTCAGTAGGAAAGCCGAGAGAAAGAGAGTCTGAAAGAGAGACGAACGAATTGTCCTCCTCGGGTCTCCTCTTTTCTTCCCCCACGCCCCGCAACGACCTGACGGAAGTGAGGAGAGAAAGTGGAAACTGGCCGAGATGCACAGCTCACGATCAGTGGATCTCTCAGCTTGCCCAAGCCTCTTGGGCTGAAGCCGAGTTGTCTGGGCTATTTGTGATGTTCAAATCCGTGAATACGTCAGGTCAATGGTTGAGCAACACTTGGAGTCTTCGACAACACCTGAACAGCTGGTTCCCAATCCGTCAATGGCATGAAATGATGCTTCACTCCAAATGATCGTCTTTATCTACGTACCCACCATCTAAAGTGGGAAACCCGATTGTGGCGCCTTGACAGACGGGGGCGGTTTTAGGTGCAGCCAGCCGGTAACGAGTCTCGAGGAGGGAGAACCTGGATCAGAGGACCACCCACCTCCGGGACCGCGATTATCTTTGGCAGGCTGGCAGCTTCGGGGGCGGCCTTTGATGATTGATTACGATGACAGGCCAGTTCAGGCGCCCCTGGGGCGTGGTAAGCGTATGCGTGTCAAGCCACCACCACCACAACCACAAACCACCCAGACAGGCACCACCATTTCGGGGCGCCGCTTAGTTCGTTGGTTCGTGCGTATCAGGACGTTAACCCAGACAGCACCAGGACACACCCATTTCTGGTAGTCTCGCCTTGCCTGATGGCTGGGATGCTGAATCATGTTTAACCGCGGTGTGTAGACTCTGTGTATCAGTGACTTGGTCATCTCTATCTTCCTAGCGAGACTCTCTCTCTCTCGTTGACTTCATTTTGTGGATGAAGATAACCGAATGCTGTTTGCTCACGAAGGACCATCGTGACCAGATCTCGGGTAACTCGGAGAAGCATAGAGGGGGGTTAAACACTCCTCCTATCGGGACCGCGGTGTTGGCGTCCTCCAAAAGTGTCGAAACCCCATCGTCCACGTTCCAAGCAGTCCGTCTTTTCCCCAGGAATTGATCGGTTACAGGGAAACCACAGCCTACAGCGCGGTAAACCACAAGGCGAGAGAATGGTCACCTCGCCAAAAAGGCTTGTTTCTCCAGCTCGTGTAGCTCGTGATGTCATTGCCCACCCTATCATGCACCTTTCCCCCCCTCCTCCTTCTAGGCTTCTCCTGGGTAAGCCCATTGAAAGCGTTGGCTGCAATGGAACACTCGCTGCAACAGAACGAAAGGGTCGATCACTTTGGGGAAACGAGCTTGGCGGCGTTCAATGGATGCTTGGGCTGAGGGAGCGCGCTGGAGATAGACGTGCTCACGTGGTGCAGCGTTGCTCATGCATTTCGCGTCCGCAGAAGAACGCCAGCAGTGAGGAGATGGAGGAGATGGTGTCGTGCCACTGACTATCTCGTCCTATCACGACCCTTACCGCGTTGGCTTTCGTCTCGTCGTCTCTTCAATACCCCCAAAATCTTATCAGCTTGTCGAACCATGCCTTCGAATCGACGCCTCCCCCGGCAATAGAACGATGCCCCTTCTGGACAACGCAGGTCGGGCAACCTGGGCACATGGTTTAGATTGCCGTGGCTCCAGTGTCCCAATGCCGTCCTACCAGACTCCTAGACTCCCAGACCAGTCCCGGAACGCAAGCTGCTGTCCATTTGATCCAAAGAAGCTCACCTCGACTTCCTCGCGATGTCTACGGAGTACACCGGCAATGCTCCTCAACGTGGAAGTCCAACCCCGCAAGATTGGGCTCGCCCACAGCCCACAAGGGCCCCTTCCCCCTCCCCGCTGACACATACAATTGCAGTGGAGAAACGGATCCCGAATCCACACGTCTCAATGATAAGAGACGGCTCTTCTCGGAAGCAGAATCTGGGTTTCGGAAGGGAGCATGGCCTCGAATGAATACAGCAAACATCACGAAAACTTGGTGGTGATTGACATCGCAAGAGGTGAGCAGGAAACAAATCGTCATAGGTGAGCTGACCAGCCAGCCTCTCTACGTGCAATAACGGACTACTGCAGAATGCAGACATGCAGAGAAGAGCCCGCGGGTAGCTATCTCTGCATCCCGGAACGACCGTTCATTATGCGCCCCTGACCACACCCACCAAAGATAACGAAAGAGACCCAACGTGGACGCGTAGGGGTCAACCCGTGTCCCGGGCGAGTGAAGCCTTATCAGTGGACTCGCTCTTCCCCTTGCCATTGAATTTGATGGAGTGCGAACTGCGACGAGCATGGCAAATGGGAAGATTGGGAAAAGCACTCTTGAATTCGTTCGGCCCGATTCTGGTGTCGGATTCGAGTTAATCGATTCTTTAACGCCGATTGAAACTGTTCATCCCCTTTGAAGAGAGTACTATTGCTCTGTCGTGCATTGAGGGCCCTTTCCCGAGTGTCTCTCTATTCAACGATTGATATCTTCATTCCATCCCTAACCACTCCTTACAATGAAGTGCCTTGGACCATTTAACCCCCCTTTTCAAGCACATTGCAATGAAATAAATCACATCCAAGCTGGTTAATCCCAAAGTTCCAAACATGCCGGGCCAAAGCCGAGGTCCCACACGTTCACATCACCAACGCTGAGCCCCCTGTTCCTATTCTTATCTCTCCTGCTCGCTCGAGTAATTATTTTCATAATTAGACAGCAAGCTGTCAAAAAAAAAAAAACAGCCATCGGCACCTCCCGATGACTGACACGGTCCTAGCAAATGCCAAAAAGACACCAAGCTAGAAGGAATCTTCGAAGAATACATTTTACATCTTGACGCAATCCTTCGCTTCTCAGACCAAGGGCAATTTGGCGCTATCTGATCATCTCTTCATTCAGAATGATACTTTATTCGTGGCTGTCAAATACCAACAATGTCGATAGGACGCCACTGTGCACGAATGCGATCCTGCGATATTGTTCACCCAGAGCCGCCAAACACACTGAGGTGCTCACGACTCCCAAGGTCACACAACGTTCAGAATATTCATGCCGATGCGCTGAGCCGGCGGTTGATTTCGACTACCTACGTACCAAGCATTCCTGTCCTATCTTGGTACCAATCGTCAACTGTAATACCTCCAAACGGCGCCGTAACCCCCGTCAAACTTGTTCGTACCAGTGGCCGTGAAAGAGATATTCCCCCTTTTTGAGCGCTTCTAGGTCCTATGCAGGACCAATCCATCAAATCGTGTACCTCCTAAACGCCTTGCAAAACTTGACCAAACAACAAGAAAAAGAACTCCCATGCAACAACGATACGACCGCCCCAATGCACCGGTCACGCCCGTCTACAACGCCTAAGGTCCCTTTCCCCATTTTAAGATAGGACCTCTTTTTCCGCCGCCTCGTCCACTAATTTCCTCTGTTTCAATATTTTGACCAGTTCTGTCATGGTCACTGGTCGTGTCAAGAATAAATCCATTCCGCTTGCGAAGCCCTCCTGTCGGGCGCCCGCCGATCCCAGACTCGTGATGGCAATAACCGTCACGGGTGGGAGGTTGTGTGCCCGTTCAAACTTCCTGATGCGCCTTGTAGCTTCAAGCCCGTCCATTACAGGCATCGTTATGTCTGTGCATTATTAGTGACCGTTACTTCCTATCGTCCCCCGTATTGACTCATACCTATGAGAATACAGCAAAACCTCTGCGGGTTAGACGTGTAAGTCTGCAGGGCCTCAAGGCCGTTTGAAGCAGTGGCGTGCCGTTTTTGCAGCCTCTTCATATATGCCGATAGAATCTGCTACCATAAGCCTTTGAACGTACTAGCATCGTCCCCAATAGGTAGACAAACCTTGAGATTGATCGGATTATCGTCCACCAAAAGAAACTCTAGCGGTGACTTAACGGTTCCAGGAGACGGGCTGACGCTCGAGTTCATGTTGCCCCTAGCTGAAGCTGTCGAGGTAGCCGGCGCCGCTGCTGACGCAGCTGGGCGGAAGGGGAGCGTCAGAGTAAAGTTGGAATCACTGGTGTTGGCAATCCAGCTGTCTCCCGGTGACTGAGATACGATCTCGGTAGCTGGCGAGGCCACCCGTACCATTTTGACTGATTCGGATTGCGCTCGCGGTCTCGTCGACAGAGCGTCCGACTTGAGTGCCCGTGGTGATGGAGCAGGCCCTGGGAAGGCATCCGACAGTGGACTGACGGGTATCGTCTTCGTGGGCTGCCTTTGCTTCCAGCGATCAAGTGCACAAGCCAAAGCCTTTGCAACCTTTCTGGGGCCAGTTCTGAATCACGGTCAGCCTGCGGTTCTTGGAAAGGACCAGATAACTTACGGCTGGGCGATGAACTCCATGACAGCGTCGTGTCGAAGGGAGCGTCTGTAGGAAGTCGCCAGCTTCTGGGCAGATTCGGCATTGCCACAGACTACGACGAGCGGGGTATCAACACCTCCAGTCTCAGACAGACCGAGACGTCTAAAAGCCTCCTCACTGCAAACCATCAAATCCGTCTTGGATGCATTTCGGCTGTCCTCGTTGAGCTTGAGATCCATCCACTTGAATGGCAAGCTTTCCACGGGAAGATCTAGCCCTCCGGCGCGAAGCTCTTCCGAATCTTCAAGTCCTCTGCTGAACCCACACACCGAGAGTCGCGTTCCGGCCAGTGCATTCAGGTCGGCCGAAAACTTGCGTCCCCTACTGCTCGCTTTGCGAGACAGCACCAGTGGCATCGATACCGTGATGCTCGTTCCATGGCCGACCTGACTCTCCACACTGATTGTGCCACCGAGGCCTGCCACAATCTGTCTGACAAGGCTGAGACCCAAACCAGTGCCCGGTGCGAGTGCGTCTTCCTGGGAGAACGGAGTAAAGAGCTTGTTGTGCAAGAACTCTTCGGTAATCCCTTTGCCTGAGTCAGTGACGGTGAGCACCACCATCGATGCCGACCGGGATGTCTTATGTACGACCTCCTCTTGCCTAAGGTGGACTTTGATGAATCCCTTGGATGTGTACTTGAGGGCGTTTCCGAACAGATTCATGACTATCCGACGAATGGCGCCCGGATTTGTGTGGACTACCCACGCGCAGTTCGGGTCGATGTCGACAAGAATCTTGACATCCTTCATAGCTGCAGCCGGCGCGTCTGAGGGTTTCCGCCTGTGGCCCAGCCCATCGGATGTCGCAATGGCATCCAGCTTCTCTTGGGCCGGTGTTGGAGGGCCTGAAGACGCACCGTGACGTGCCAGAGAGTTGGCAACCATGTGATGGAAGCTGTAGCCGATGAATACACTCTCAATGACCTCCTCTACGAGCAAGTCGAGGTGAACGTCAGAAACCAAGCTCATCATACCAGATTCGATCGATGCCGATGCTTCTTGTCGCAGCCCACGACCTGGGCCATTATTCTTCCGCTGGGACTTTGAAGCTCGGAGGTACGTGTTGACTTTGCTATAGTCAAGCAACTGTGTCGAGTTAGCACGTCAAGTGAGGCTTAGGAAGCGTCATTGTAAACCTACATGGTCAATTGTGTCGAGAAGAGTTTTGCCCGAAATCTCAATGGTGTGGATTACGTCGACCTGGAAAGCATCCAGCTGGGTATCGTGAAGAAGTTCTGCAGCGGCGACTACACCATGGAGCGGCGACCGAAGCTCGTGGCTGAGGGAGCCCAAAATGTCTGTCTTTGCCTTCTCTGCCAGAACTGCATCCAGCCTAATGACCTCAGACATGGTGACCATACCGAATGCTCGCAAGAAAGGCAGGTCCGCCGCAGGCGTCAATATCCGAGCCGCGCTCTTGCTCCACACAAAGCCTCCGGCAAAGCATCGTTCTTTTGAAGGATCCCATAGCGGTACTACAGCTACGCTCCTCGCACCCGGGAAGATGTCGATGATGGTCTTGGCCTCGTTCCGCCTCGTAAAGTACGAATGTGCTGCTTTTTGCTCAGGGCGCGTAACCGGGAGATCGTGTTCTTCCGTAGGGGTGATATCGGCATCATCGCTTTCGTAGTCGGCGGACAACCATTGGCCCATCTCATCGAAGCTGAAAACCTTGCCGTTGGGGTATCGACGGAGCAATTTCCTGAGGAACTTTTCGCGCAAAGTCAAACGGCCGAGCTGTGGTGCACTGACGCCATTGACAATGTCGTCCATCGTCGACGACCTTCCAAAGCTCTTACACCATTTGTCGTTGACGTCTTCGGACTTCTCGGACAGACTATCCTCGCTGCTAGAAAATGTGTGGTCTGCTACTTCACTAGCCCTCCGTGGACCGGTCACAAGGCCTCCAAAAGAGCCGATGCTCGCATCCAGGAATAAGGCGCCGTCCACCTCGAGGGATTTCCTGATCACATTTGCGGCCCTGGAAAAGATCTTGATGGTCTCTGTCAAATGCGGGTCGGGCGGCGCCGTGCTTGAGGTAGTGGTGGCGACCGTCGCAGTTGTGGCCGTCGTCTCGACGGAGTCGCTCGATTCGACCTTGGCTGATGAATCACTTGAGTCTGCTTTGATAGGGTTGATGCCCGGGCGGACGGGCTCAGGGGATTCGGAAGATCTAGGTGACGGCGGATCTGCATCGGGCAGTGATACCGCCAGCCTAGGAAGCTCAAATCCGTTCAAAGATGCTCGAGGCGTAGTTCTTGTAGTCGGCACTGGGTCGTCTCTACCTTCGATGAAGTTTCCCAATCCTTGCACCATGCGCTCGCTTCGGCGGTAGCTTTCATTTACTCTTCTAGCGTCGAGATATTCCATGACTGTCTGAGAAATCTCGCGCATGAACTGTAACTCCTCGGTGTCGAGACCATTCCTGGGCTTGTCGGAAAAGATGCAGTACACGCCAATGTTGATACCTTTGGGAGACCGGATGGGAACGCCCGCATAAAAGCGGTTGTACGGCGCTGCGTCGATGTAAGGTCGATTACAGAATCGTCGGTCAGTAGCAAGATCCGGGACTACAGACACGGGAAGTTCGTCCTCATCAGTGGTGTGCGCTGTCGGGTGTAGGCTGTTGGAAGCCGCGTGAGTCGCTCCTATCAAAACATGCTCGCAAATTCCAAAGTCGCGAGGGATAGCTGTCCCGCAGAGCCAAAGATGGTTTTGCCTCGTGTACTTAGTATTCGGCGCCAGGGGCATTGACTGAGTAGCCTCGGCGACGATGTATTGATGCTGACGATCGAATAGCGAGATCAAGGCACGCGATGCGTTTAGTCGCAAGGCACCTAGCTGCGCAAAGGAAGTGAGGCCTGTATCCGGAGACGACGAGATGGATGAGAAGGGGATCGGTCGGTCGGGACTGTTGAACACAGCGTTGGGAATGTGGAAAGAATCATATCTAGAGAGTCGAGTCTGTCAGTTGTTGAATAGCGAAAAGCATCGTGCCCCGAGCCTTTAGCTAAAGCTCGAGAAGATGAAAGGTATGCGCACTTGAATGTCTCCCATTCACGGGCACCTTCTGATATCTTGTTCATACTTCATGCAAGTTGTTGGAGAGTGGGATGATGAAGCTGGCCCTGCCCATGATACAAGGAGTTTTGATGCAGTGTACAGCAACGACAAACGATGGGAAATGTTGTTTGCCGTTGTCAACAACGCAGCCGTAGTCCGTCGTCGTCAACAACTCAGGTCGAGGTAAGGCAAGGTTGGCAAGGTCAGATCAAGTTCAGATCCAAGTCCTCAAAGCAAGGAGAAGAAGCATGCTTGCTTTCAAAGGTGAGGCGGCGGGCATGACTGAAATGCCGCCCCTCCCCGCTGAGGTGGAGCAGGGATCCCGGAAGCCAGGATGAGCATTGTTCGAGAGGGTTGGGGGGACCGCGGCGCAGTAGCGAGAAGACTTGAGGGTGACGGTAGTGCAGGCAGGGCCCCAGGGCCAGGCCAAGGCGGCGCATATCCTTGCCCTGGATGGGAAACCGGTTCTTTGGGCGGTTTGGAGATTGGCCATTGCAACCCACGGGAACCGGGGTTCCAGGCTTCTGCATCCTCCTCGAGGCGTTCTCCCAGAGGTCCTCCCACTGGCTCCCACAGGGCAACTGGAGACCTAGAGCCTGCCACGGTGCGTGTGTGTGTGAGTGTTGGTGGGCAGTTTTGGCGGTGGAAGGAATGGAGGGGCGTCCCTCGTTTGGCTCCGTTTTGCGTTGATGGGGGACCCTCGGAGATTCTGAGATGCGCTAGACTTTAGCGGCCGGCGAGGAAAGTGTGTAGTTTGTCTCTCTGCAGCAGAGGGGCAATAATTTGGCGACATTTGAGCCGGATTCCGCAGCATCAGCTAAGGTGCTAAGGTAGTTAGAGGGCAAGTTCAGATGCATGCCCAACCGGTGTGCGTGTCGCAATCCATCTAGACTGCTGTTCGGTTGCATGTTTTAGGGGTCTGGACGACCTTAGCGCGATGGCACGCCGCACGTGGAAGGGAATTCCAAGGGCGGTGGTGTGTTTCCGCGTGTGTTCTGGACAGTATTTGTGTGTGTGTCCCATCCGTCCGTTACCCTAAGCTCTAAGACCATCCGTACAAGACTCTAATGGTGGTGGTGGTGGTTAGGTTGAGAAAAGTGTTTTGCACGTTGACGCCTGAAGAGAGATCGGAGGCTAACGAGGCGAGATGGTGGGACGGCGCAGATGGTTTTGGGATGGTGGCGGCGGCCAGACCGACCCTTGATCCTTTGTCCTTTTTTTGAAAGACTATGGAAAATCTAGTCGGAAGAGACAGAGTTGAGCAGAGGGATCAGAGGGATCTGAGGGCGCCTGGAACGATGATGGGCAAAGTGTAATCGTCTGGTCTGCCAGGCAAGATTAGAGTATGCGTACCTAGACTACTGGCTGACTGGTTGGATTCGGGATTTCCAGTGTCGTGTGCCATGCAACACTGACGACGGGCCGATGAACTGATGTCTGAGTCTTGACTGTCATTGACCAACGGAGAATGGATGGACGTTGCCTTGGCTGTTGCTGCCAGGACGCTCCCCTCGGTCACCGCTCAATACTGCCCTCTTTCTTCTCTTGGTCGACTCGACTTCCTCCCTCTTGTCATCCATATCGCTATCACTCTCGCAGTCTCGTGGACCTTGAACGTCGCCCACTTGCTTTCATGTGAGCAGCAAACCGAGGCGGGGGAAGGCCAACCACAGCGAGGAGAGTCGATGACGGGACTGGCTCCGGGATCCTTGAGAACTTGGGCTGATCCTGGTCCCCACAAGTACAGGCCACTTTCAGAGTCGAGACTCAAGCCAATTCCACCTCTTGCCCTTGTCCAAGGTCCACGGGGGGGGAGCAAATGGAATGGGCAGCTCGATCATCGACAAAAATCGGAGAGGGCAGACCGATGAACCATAGCCGTGGGAGATTTCGAGAGGGCCACCAGGTGAGCGGTGAAGAGCCAACAATAGGCGTTTTGCTGCACAGCATGCGACGAGATCTGCATGGCAAAAATGATGGTGGACTCTCTGAAGGAATGGGCAGAAAGGAGAAGACACTGTGAAGATACAGCAAAATTGTGCGCCTGGATGCGGACGACAGACAAGTACGTACAGTGCGAAGTGCGGATCCGCCCTGAAGCCCGTGGCTCGGTACGTACTCGGAGACCGGGGAAAGTAAGAGGCGGAAGAGTGGGGCATCAAGATGGTTTGCAAGGGACTCGAACCCAAACAAGGGAAAGAGCGGGGCTCCGAGTCAATCGCCCTGCTCCTTCTCAACTTGCTGCTTTCCCATTCCAAGTTTCCAACCGGCAGCTGCCCCGCTTGGCCCCGCTTATATGCTGTAATCCCGTACCGTGCACGTGAACGGCGCACACACAGTCAGGCAACCTGGAAGTACATTGAAGGACACTCGGTACGTACTCCAGCACTCCAGTGTCTCCGGACCTCCTATGCATCTTCCAAGTTCCAATCGCAGCTCTGACACGCCCTTCATTTTATCACCGACAAATCATGGCCTCACATGTTCGACGACCATCTCCCATGGCCCATCAGTCCTTGATGTCAGAGTCGAGGCCAACGGTCCAACACGTAACCGATCTTGGCTTCGTCTCCTATCCCACAGCAGCAACAGCCTCCCATCAATACGAGACCATATGATCTGAGTCAACCTGAACCAGTTGCTCCAGACGACCTCCGCACTCATCCGTTCCCTTTCCGTCGCCCCAAATCATGCACATTCCGCAATTCAGCAGACAATGAGACGATGAAATCCCATCGTACATCGGCCGAAACCATCGTCATCCTGTGTCCTAGCCACTAAACCATCGCCCGCTTCAGGCTGTTCCACAAAGAGCAATGTCAGCATCGCCAGCGAGCCAAGTGTGCAAGGCACCAGGGGGAAGTGGGCATTGTCCAGTCCTTGGAGATTTCGAAAAGCCCTCGTTATTGAGAAAGAATCGATCGAAACCGTACGCCCTGCATCTGCAGCTCTGTTAAACGGTTGGGCAGCTTTCCATCGACCAGCAACTGGAAACCCCGTCCTGGACCCTGATTCAGCCCCTGGCCCGTCGGTCATCCCTGCGGCGAGCATCCCGTTGCCGTTGCCGGGGCTTTCAACGCCCAAAACCTCTCAGTCCTACCCTCTGGCCCCTGGCAGTCACGCACGACGCAAGACCCCGAAGGACCCCGATCGGTCACCCGGGTCGGCCATGCCACTACATCGAGCCTCGAATGTGACATCGACCATATTAGATCGCTGACGCTATGGTGTTTTGGCCGGGGGTCAAACAACGACAGAGATCTGCACGCCAAAACAATCAAAAAACCGTTGCAAAAAAAAGAACCTTCTGGCACAATCTGTCAAATGCCCGCAGGATCGCTGCCTTGACGCCGTTTACACGCCATCCGGACCGACATAACGTACGCTAAAACTAGCTAAATATGTTTTGGCACATGGTACAGACGACGGTGCCAAGTTTCACATCCACATTTGCTAGCACGCCCTGGGCCCTGCGACCACGGAGTGCAGAGTCTCAGCTTTGTTCGGATACAGATTGTGGACAGCGAGTGTGGGCAATATTCACGTCACGACGTACGACTCAGTCGTCCCCGTTCCGCATGACATCGAATTTCCATCTCCAAGGACCATAGCATCCAAAGCAGGTCAAGAGTCCGAAGCTGGTGAGGCTTAAACAAAATGTCAGCATAAGCCTCTCCGACAATAAGGCTATTCTAGGCATGATCAACCAGCTTCATCCCGCTGATGACTCCCTCAAATCCACTGCCTCCGACTGTTGCCAACGGCGCCTCTACCGCAATGGGCTGCCAGACAAACCGGGCTCCGTTCCAGCCCATTATTGTCAAAAACTCCTTGGGCTCGCTGTCCCCAACGTCCAAGAACGTCTGCCTCCCCCTGCCAATGAGGCTCGCGTTTGTCCACGACCCCACGGGGAACGTGTAATTGAGCGCGTAAGTGCTCTCCCCTGAAAAGAGCATGACGGCGTCCACAGTCCCATTGCCAAACCATAATCCGCTGTCTCCACCGCTGAAGATGGCTCCCTTGGCGTCGGACGTGGGCTTGATCGAGAAAGACAGAGTGTAATTCCTCCCCTTTTGCGTCAGCGGAGTCGTGATGCTACACGCAGACGCCAGAATGGCACCTTCATCGCCCATCGCGCACGTCGAGGTTGCATGGTAGTTGTTGCCCGACAAATCTTCAACAGCTGTGCCGTTGCTACCTCGTCCCTGCTTGAAGTCGTATTCAGCGATCGTCGATCCGGTGGATGCGATTCTTCGATCAAGGTTCTGCCCCGGCGCGAGAGGCTGCAACGCAGAGAAAAGGCCTTGGTAATCAGCCTCAGCAACTTCGCCTCCCCACTGCTTGTCCGCGAGAGCAGGCAGGCCATCCCTCCATTGGTAGTATCCCTCCGTCACCGTCGTTGCATTCGGGCCAAAATCGTTCCATTGCGGCGCAATATGGCCCAGGAGCGATGCACTGTCCCTTGCGGCATTGTTAGATGCATTCGTGCGATCAAATATATTTGGCGAAAATGGTGATCCATCGGGCGAGCCATTAAAGATGAATTCTAAGCTGAGTTCATGCTATTCGCCAGGTCAGTCCGGTCATCACATCAACACAAACCCGCTCCGTTCGATTACTTACACCATACCACTCGCTCCACTTTCCAACCGTGTAGATGTAGTCGCCCGAGTTAAGTACCTCGTACCCGTTGTTGACAAAGTCGTAGAGCGGGTTCGCCTCAAAGTTGGCCCAGTGCTGAATCGAAACGGACTTGTTGACGGTTCCGCCGACTGACGGCGCAAAAGTTCCCCAGATTCTGACCTTCTTACCGGATGTGCTTGTGATGTAGTCGTTCATCTCGTCCACAAAGCGCGTGTACTCGGCAACCAGGGCGCTGAATGATGAGCACATGCTTGGAGACTGCCACTTTCCGGGGGCGACTTAACTTACTCTTCACTCAGCGTCGGATCGACATACTCATCGGCACCGATCGAGACCGTCTTGGTATGGAACCATGGCAGGAAAATCTCCCAGATCTTCTTCACCATCGGTATCGTCTCCGGGTTTGAGATATTCAGCAAGCTCAAGTCGCTCAACAATCCCAGCTCGGGCTTCCACTGCGAGATCACGAGAGCGTGCCCGGGAGCCTCGATCTCCGGCAGAATCGTCACACCGCGCGCTGCGCACTTCGCTTGAATGTCGTCAAAGACGTCCCGCGTGTAGCTCTCATTTGCGCGCCTATTGAGGCCCTCGAGGGCTGGATCGTCGGAATTCAACCGGAAGGCGGCATAGAGTGAAAGCATACGCTCGCGTGAGTAGATGGCGACATTGTTGTACAGATTGTCTGAGAGGTGCAGCTGGAAAGTGTTTTGTTTGAAGAAGGACATGTAAGCGCACATTTCGATGAGGAATTCGGCTGGGTAGTAGTGTCTGGCGATATCGAGCTAACATAGTGCATAGGCAGTCAGCTTGCGGGTCACTTCGCTGAGGCATTCGGCCGGGGGTCGTTCACGTTTCCCGCGATGCGAGCTCCGGCTCGGGCGGAAGGATTCTCTCACCATCATGCCCCGGGTTCCCCATCCGGGGCTATCTGTCCCGTACCCCAACTTCAGCTCCCCGTTTCCGAGGACGAGCTGCTGTAGGACCGTCCGAGTACCCCACCACACGCCCAGCGGGCTCGCACCTGCGATGAGCACACCGTCGATCGTGACATTGAGAGAGTATCCCTCGGACGTCTCGCGCCCAGCAGCATCTTTGTAGAGGCTTGCATCGTCGGCCAGCGTCAGGAAAATTGAACCTTGCTCCGGGGCATCGCCTAGCTCGATCGGAATGTCGAGTTTGAGCGACGAGGCGAGGTCCTCTCCGAAGGTTGTAGCAAAGGCATGGAGAGTTGGTGGGATGAGTGTTTGGCCTTTGTCGTCGACGGAGTCTGCGTAGGCTGAGGAGACTATGATCTTGGAGAGAGAAGAGGCGGTGATGGTGCCGCCTGTTGGAGTGTAGGGTGCTGTTGGAAGGCCTGGGAGAAAGTCTGCTCCCGCTGTGGCTGCGAGAGAAACGAGGGCGGTGGCGAGGAACCGCATCGTGAGGGTCGATCAATGGCTTTCGGTCACGATCTTGGGGTTGTGTTGCGATTTCCCCTCCCCAATTGCAGGATTTGACCTTCTATAAGTACGGCAGGACGAGGTCTTGGCTTCAATGGACATTTCAATCTTATCATCAGAGCATCGTGGGTACGACGCGACGGGACGTGACCTCGGCGCGCGGGGGCTCGGAGCCGGATGGGATGTTTGGTGAGGGGAACCCAGCTTGCGCGACACCCGGCGCGAACCATGGTGACATAACTTTGTGATGAGAGCTGTGCGATTGTAGAAGGTAGTAGCCGGATCTGCGTTATTGGTTTCTTACCCCTCAGGTGATGGAAACATTGCAAACAATTTGAGGATACGAAAGGCATAGTGATAGAAACCAACATCGCAACGTGGGTGGAACTCGGTTCCTGGGGCCACACGCTCGGAAGTTACGAGGCTAGCCAGATACTGCTTGCAGTTCCGTCAATCCAACAATTGGAACGACTCTGGTAGTGTGCTCAAGCTCATAACAACTGTGATCTGTTGGTGTGATGGCAACGTTGCAATCAATTATCTCTCCCTTTTTTGCAGTTCATCCCCCCCCTGATTAAATGTTCTAATCTCTCTCCCCGCGCTTAATGAGTGGGGTCCGGGAGAGGCAGACTGCTACTGCGGAGTCGTTGTTCCGGTGCTCCGTTGGACGGCGGCGTGGAAGTCGGACAGGGACCGGGCCGGGGTTTATGACTGTGGACGACGTTGCGTGGTCTATGAATTGTGTATTTCAGTTTACTGGACCGTTTCACGCGTGCAATTGATAAAAAGGTCGTAAATGATGATTGGAGCTGAGGTTATCCGACTCAGCAGAGACAGCTAGCTCACATTTCGATTGTGCTATTTACATCTTGTTCCAAACTCAAGAATGTGCTGTATTCATGTTTTTGAAAGAGTTTAGGCATGTAACACGTCTCATCAGTGACATGTACGTGTCGTGCAGTCACATATAGGGCATCAAAATACATAATGAAAGTTGATTATCTATCGAGAATGGGAATAAAGTCGAAGCCAGCTTCCCGTGAACCGGTTGGTATTCGTGATGAGTATTATGGGACACCCATATATAAGGTCGCGTGTCGAGCGGCGAGGCCTGGGATCGTTGACTATATAAAAACAAAAAGAGTTCACCCCCCCGGTGCCGAATTGGGGGCTACATCTCTTGGTGCTCACACTGGGAATCGAACTCGAACTCGTAGCCTGTCGTTGAGTAGGCTTTGGACGTAATTTGATTGTTGACCGTAGACCACTCCACCACCCAGCCAGTTTGACCTGACCCGTCGACCTAGACGAGCGCCTCCTGGTTGGTGACAGGATTGGACTTGGGGGTCCCTAGATAGCCTTACACCCGGCCATCGTCCCTTCCCTACTGGTCGTCGAATGGTCTTGCAAAGTCGTACGGGTGCATATTCACACATTGCCCGACGTTTGGATCCGCCCTGGAAAGTCTCCATGGTCAGAAATCTATTGGATCTTTCTAGCAAAGATGCGAGCCCGTTTGGGAAAACTCACGAGTATTCCCAATTCCAATACTTCCTACGGCCGCCGCGCTCGCAGCCGGCCTCTGCCTTCATGCCGCTATAGCATTCTTCTATATCGATGTCGCGTTGGTCACCATTCCCGATATACTAGCGCTACGTCAGCGATAAAATAGAGTCAGGAAGAATTCCTTCCATCATTCATACGAGATGAAGATGCAGAAGGAACGAAACACGACTGGATCTCTGTCTTACCGAAAGCTCAAAATCCCACTTTCTACCCTTCGTATCCATGATGCAGATTCGGCGGAATTCATTCTTTACATAGCTGCCCGATAGCTGAGCGCACACGATTCTCATGTCGACTGGGGTATTGTTGTTAACGTCGTATTCGCCTGTCATGCCGTTCTTGTTACATTCGGCAAGTACTGTTGGATCAAAAGCGAAGATGGTCGCGATAAGTAGAGACTGGATGGTTTTCATGACGGGCAACGAGGCAACGACTGGATAAGTGAATAATTAGGAATTTGGGAAAGGAGAAGAGAATCAAGTACTAAGAGAGAGCAAGATGTTCGCTCTTTAGTATTTGCGTGCAATGCAGGCCATGCAACTTCTTTATATCAGTGATGAATTGAACTTGACTTACCCAAGGTGAGGTATAAAGGGTTAGAGGCAGATGCAGCTTAAAGACGTCAGCATTTCGTGGTGCCACAGATGCTTTAGTGTCAAGTTACAAGGGAACTTGGGTGAGCCCCAAACTCAGAATGGTACAACAGCAATCAACGCTGGGCGGATGAGTCTCTTTACCCATAGGTAGCAAGGGAATAGGTTGTGTGACATACTTACACAGTACAGCACCTGACAACGGCTTAGTCCTCATATGGCTTCCTTCAGCATTGCCTCGATTGGGCGACGACGAGGTCGTGGCCACCCCAGGGGCACTTCTCCGCTTCCTGAGTTGGATTGCTTTGCATATTCGTTTGGACCTCGGCGATGAGATCCTCGGATGACGCCGAGTACCCAGGCACGCTTATGTGCTACAAAGCCTTCCCTGCGATTTTGCTCCGCATAGTACGGCTCTGGCACCGAGCGCCATTCATGGGGGATGTGGACGCACGTGTTCTTTCGGAGGTTTCTCCCTTGCCTCTCCCACTCGCACGATCGGGCCCTTGCCTCCAAGTATGCTCTTTCAAGTTTGGAGGCTGAAGTGGAAACACCAGATGCGGAGTGTGTATTCCAGTTGCATTGGCTCGTATCTCGACGATATAAGTCTGCACAAGGACCCTAAGTAGGCATGTTTGATTAGTCTGAGAAACAGAGTCAGCCCATCTCGAAACTCATATGAAAGCTTATGTACTTGTGTGATGCATCTCTAGCTCTCCTAGCACCACCACCGCCAGACATCTCAAGATGAATTCCATATTCTCTCAACTAGCAGGAGTCCTTTTACTCGTCGTAGCGATTGGCCTTGTAGAGGCAGCACCTGCCATAGCCGAATCACGAACCCTTACGTCCTACCCGGGCTCCAAATTGAGTTTCTACAAATTCGCGATGCCAATCAACCGGACTCTACTTACTGAAAAGTTTGGAAACCCTGTTCTCGTTATTGACACTCGAAAGTCGTTTTCTCCTGAGATCCAAGAACTGCGCAAGGAACGAGTCGAAACTTTTATTGCTAAAAACTCCACCGTAAGGCCGCATGTCGGCAACAAAGTGGATGGGAACAAGCCAAGGATTGCCTTCAGGTGAGTCACCTTTCTGAATATACGAGATAACACAGAAGAGGTACTGATGGATGACAGGACACGCCAAACCTTTTCAAGTAGCATCCGCGCCAGATCAAAGCCTGGAGCATTCCCCTGGGCGGGTTTCAACCCCCAAGGAACATACCCTTGGACCAAATCAATTCTATGCATGGCGATCTGCGAAAGGAACACATATCACATGAGAGATATCCTGAAGGGAAAGGGAAGGTGGCAAGCGTGAGTGAAATCTCTTGAGTTTCGGACCTTTTTACTCAGTCATTTCCTTAGTAGACCATCTTGATTTAGTTGGCTGACTTGACTCGCGATGAAGATGTTTACTGAAGTGCAAGTCTGATGGATCCATGACTGATGTTGTTGGCGAGATCTATGAGGCAAGTTTCAAGGAGGATTTCGCGCCCTTGGCTTACTACAAAGGGTATCTGGATTACGTCTCTGGCAAAACTGGCGTGGTGGAACAGAAGATGGAGTGGAGGGCCGCGTATTAAGCAACGAGTTACGTCCATCATCTCATGACCCAAAGGACCTGTGAAGTAAGTTCACTCAGACGAAATAAAAGGGAACATGCTTCACACTAGCTTTGCATTGAATATCTTGTACGAGCACAGTAGGTGCTGGCGTAGTAGGTTGTGAGATTATGTCTATCAAACCCAGGAGGGAAAAGCCATTGGGGGCAGCCGAATTCCAAGATTTTGCCACATTCATATGCCATTGAAAGCACTCCCGTGGCCATCGCATCGATGTCTGAATCAAATCAGAGGAGCCGAGACGTAAACCCACATGGCGCCTTGTTCGTAAGCCGGCATGCCTCCCTGAACGGTGTTGTCGGATCTCCAGCAGCGATCCATGATGCGTCCAGCAGTGCGGGCAACGTTGTTACTGGATGGCGAAGAGAGTTAGTCCCATCTATACGGATCTTTTGAACTAAGAGACTGAATTCAACATACCAGTTGGTGCTCACTTCTCCAGCTCCACTGCCACTTCCGACAATTTGCGCATTACCAGCGGTACACATCGCCGTCGCTGTTCTAGTCCCGCAATTTGCGTTGAGACCGGCAAGGTAGTTAATACACGTCACAGCATCAGGTGCCTATGGAGTGTTAGTCTTGACTTCCTATTCAATGAAGGTCACCGAGCTTCGCATACCCAAGCGGAAGGCTTGCCATCGTTGCATACGAGAAACTGCTCCTGTCTCTTATCAAGTGAGCCATCTACAAATATAATGTTAGCATGCATACACCCAACATTGACATTCAGGTAGAGACAATTAATGGGGATAAAAGATTTACTTTCGTGAGCCGCTGCGGATTTGGCCGCAGCTTCAAGGGCTTCGTCGACGGATAAAGCGCTTTCAGGGTCGGCAATGATTGTCTCAACCCAATGTTCCCAGGACCAGTCACCCACAGCAACTGCATCCCGAGAGTTTACAAGGGGAGCAGGAGAAGCAGCTGCGAGAGCCACCAGGAAGAGCAAAGTGACTGAAGAAAGGGCGATTTGGACCATTGTGAAAGGATTGTCTGGAAGCTGTGTTTAGAGATCTGTGTGTGAAGGGTAGTTTATGATCAACTTCAGGCAGTAGGTGCCTAGGGTTTATATAGTCGTTAGCTCCAGTATGGAATCAAAACATGTGGCAACACGAAAAGCCTGCCATACTGAATACTCGTGTCTCTCGCCATGGTCTTCCCGATTGCTACATGGAGTTGACATTGGCATTGGCACGATAACTCAATGTATCATCGCTGGATAGGCCGTGCCTCCTCTGGTACTGGAGCTCAGTATGGGAAGCTTTCGTCTCTGCACGATTCACTGTGCCATGACCTTGCGTAAACGAGGTCGTCAGACTGACCTGACTCTTTGATCGACCGTCTTTACTATGCGTCAAATTTTCACTACTTAGGTGGCCGATCGGCCACGGAAAGTGATCCATGAGGTAGTTTAGAAGTTGACGCCAAGAACCATTGAACCAAAGTCCCGTCGCTTACCTCTTAGTCTGAGCTAGCAGGCGGCCGACCGACGTTTTGATAGTATCCTGCGAGCTTCAAGAATGGTAGCATCCGCTGTGACGCTGACCGAATACGAGAATTGAGCTTCAAACAATTTGCCCATGATTCTCTCTGTTCCGAACTCTGGCACCCGCCATAACAACGCAAGTCAGTAGCCTGATCGAGCCTTGGTTCCTTCAATGGAACCAATCACGTTGGATCAGGTCTTTCTAGCCTTGCACTCGTCATATTATCTGAGATTCAATTCGTCTGATCGGTTTAGGTGGAGGAAACAGGGCCCCCTTGCCCCTAAGCAAGGAAGAACAGAAAGTGAAAGCCACCCGGCCAAGACTCTTCAACCTTGCTTCTCGCCATCAATTGGAACCCACTTGTGATATCAAATAAGCATATCGAGAACTCTAGTCAGCATGTGCGGAAGCTTAGTGGCGTTGCATAGATGTAATTGGCGCATGAAGAGTGGCAGTACTTGGCAATATCGCCTGTTGCTGCGACGAATGACTTAGTCCCTTGGGTCCTAGAGCGTTACTGGCGTATGTGATGTTTCTGGGTGTTCTATCAACTTTTAATCTGAACTGGTTTCGACCTCTTGTATGCTTAGCAGTCACTCTCCATATGAACGAGGAGGGTGGAGGAATGAAAGTCCACAAATCGAGCGAAGACCACGGCGGAAGCTGACATGACACCTGGGGTTTCTAACAATTGGGCACTCCAAAACAATCAGTCAAGCAGACAACATCCATAAAGACACTTCGAGGTATTGCCGTAGTTCCATTGATCAATCGTCGAGCCGTGTCTGCTCCTATTGAACTGTCAACTTGATGAACTCATGCCAGTCAAGTCGTCGAATTGCACTTTCTCAACTACCTATTCAAAGCCCGCAACAATCTTGTGGCGCCTCACAACTCTGTAGTTGCCAAATTGAGGGCAAAGTACCGTTTGACAGTCGAATTTCGTCAGTGCACTGGTCCTAGTATCACCGAGATCAGTAGTCCTGCATTGAAGTTGCGCGTATCCGGCGTATTTGGCGTGTCTTCCCTGTGACCGGGCCGGTCGCCCCACTTCGCGCCGAAGTTGTCGTGCTGTGAAGGATCTCCATCCGTGACTCCCTGAGTCATCGTTCAGAGCACATATGTATATTTGAATCTTGATCTGAACATCGGAAACGTTGCAAACATTGACAAAAACTTGGCAAATTAAGCCTTCGTTACCAAGACCTACCAGAACCATGGACCCTCCCGTTGGACCTCTCGTAGCCTCCGCCGACCCGGCAACGGCTCCGTCCCATACCCCGCTCCACGGCCGATACACCTCCGTGGTCCCGTTACAACCATCGCATGCGCAGGCTATCTTCAAGCACCTCGGCCGAGAAGAAAACGCTTGGCGCTGGACATACCTTTTCAATGAGCCTTTCCTCGAGATCGAAGAATGTGAGGCAGCTTTCGAGGAGTGGAGCGTCTCCAAAGACCCGTTGTACTTCACTGTATTATCCGGCCCAGCATCGGATCCATCATCCGAGCCAGTGGGTGTAATGGCATATCTCTCCATTGTTCCGGCTCATAGACGTATCGAGATTGGATGCATCGTTTTCAGCGAGCAGCTGAAGCAGACGCGTGCCGCCACTGAGGCCCAGTACCTTCTCATGAAGAATGCTTTCGAGGGCTTGGGCAATTACAGACTCGAATGGAAGGCCAATCATTTGAACAAGCCGAGTCTCGCAGCTGCTGCGCGGTTAGGATATACTTATGAAGGCATTTTCAGGTAAGAGTTCTATGAAAACTATTCTCGGTCAAGGACTGACAACCGGCAGAAAGCACATGGTCGCCAAGGGAAGACGTAGAGATACAGCTTGGTTCAGCATCATAGATGATGAGTGGCCAGTAGTCAAAGCCGGCCTGGAAACGTGGTTGAGCGAAGAAAACTTTGACGAGAATGGTAAACAGCGCAAAGGTCTGAAGCAGTGCCGAGAAGCAGTGAAGACATAAAGAGGAGCTTTGCAGCTTGGTTTTCGGAAGTTTTAGTTAGGAGGTAAGAGAGGAGCCGTCAAGCGCAAGGTAGCATAGAAAGGGTGAACAGGTTATTAGACGCAGACAAATGATAACGTTGGTAATGCTTCCGGCGCAACCCATGCTGATTGAAAACTGCATCGGATATGCAAGTGCTATTTCGAACCAAGTAAATAGCTCGCTTCCACTGAGAGCGAAGGTGATGACGGAAATGCGTCATGGCTCCAACTCCCCCGGTCTTGGCCTTGGTGATCCTGCATCTCCCCCGCAGTTGACTTGGAGCTCAACATGACAAGATCGGTGCTTCGGGATTTTAGGCTAAAGCCACAATTCTCCGTGTAGGGGTTTCCACGGCGCCGGTCTCTCGGAAAAGCGCCGCACCGTTGCCCGCGATCTTGTGAACGACTTTCGACCGCTGCTAGGATTTCTTCCGTGGTGTGGAAATCGACTCCAGAACGATGCAGGTTTTCCATGAGCGCTGCGGGGTTACCTGAGTTACTGGCCCCTGGAAGTCATAATAACATGATGACCAGCTCATAATTACTTGCCAAAGAGCCTGGTAGTTTGCTAGCTTTTTCATCATGAAGTCCGGACTCCTAGCTTTGGCAATAGCCCTCTTCGGAGTTGTCCGAGCTGAGAACTCAACCTTTCAAAACCCCATCATTAGCGGCTTCAACCCTGACCCCAGCTGCATCTTTGTTCCAGATTTGAACAATACCTTCTTCTGTGTCACGTCCAGTTTCCTGGTTTTCCCTGGCCTACCCATCCACGCAAGTCGAGACCTGGTGCACTGGAAGCATGTTTCCAACGCATTCAGTCGAGCAGACCAGCTGCCAGGTCTAGCTTTTCTGCCAAAGGCAACCAGTGGCATCTACGCACCCACATTGCGATTCCATGAGGGCATCTTCTACCTTTTATGTACTCTTGTAAATCAGCAACTCCCGAGAACAAATGACAGTCGTTGGGACAACTTTATCCTCACATCAACAGACCCATACAGCTCAGATTCTTGGTCGGATCCCGTTCATTTCAGCTTCCCCGGGTTCGACCCTTCACCATTTTGGGACGATGACGGCAAGACGTACGTCTCGGGTGCTCACACAGCCGCGTACTACCCAGGTATAATGCACGCGCCGCTCGATCTGGAGACTGGAGAGATCGGAGACATCATCATGCCCTGGAATGGTACCGGCGGGCGGTCTCCCGAGGCACCTCACATCTGGAAGCGTGATGGGTGGTACTATCTACTCCTTGCTGAGGGTGGCACCCGTGAGAATCACATGGTCACAATGGCTCGATCAAAGAGCCTAGAGGGACCTTACGATCCAGCACCGGCAAACCCACTGTTGACTTCTGCAAATGATACTACCTCCTACTTCCAAGCTGTCGGGCACGCAGATTTGTTCCAAGATGCTGATGGGTATTGGTGGTCCGTCGCCCTAGCAGTTCGCGCTGGCGGCACCTATGGCCAGGACCCCGGAGCATACTTTGGCAACCTGCCGATGGGCAGAGAGACGGTACTTACGCCCGTCACTTGGGAGAGGGATGAGTTCCCAGTGTTTACGCCGGTCACTGGCAATGTCTCTGGCTGGCCGCTACCCGCAAAAGCTATCCCAGATGAGGGAGAAGGTCAACTCAGCGACGCAGACGATGTTATCACCTTTCCGCCGGGAAGCAGTCTGCCTATTCATTTTATCCATTGGCGCCTGCCAAAGGCTAGAAACTACGCGGTCTCGCCACCAGGTCACTGGAATACACTGGCGCTGAAGTCTTCGGTACTCAATCTCACGGCTTTCGACGCTGACTTTGCCTTGGGTCGTGGTCAGACTTTTGTCGGACGGCGGATGGCTCATTCGCTCTTCAAATTCCGTGTTGATGTCGACTGGGCAACGTCATTGACGAAGGAAGAGATGGAGGTCGGCGTCTCAATTGTCCAAGATCAAGCACAACACTTTGATCTTGGTATTGTCATGTTGAAGCCAAAGGGAAGTGAGGATCTTCGACCGCATCTTCGGTATCGTGGTATCTCGGAAACACCGTATAGGGCGGTCGAACATCCGCCTAATGGGATTTACCCACTTCCTGGTGGTTGGGCTGAGCAGAAGATTTCGCTCCAGATTGAGGCTGTTAACAGCACTCATTTCGCATTTTCTGCCGGCCTTGCGGGTCTCAGGGAAGACTCCGATCTGAGAGTCTTCGGATATTGCAAGGGGACCGAGTTGGTTCCTTACTACTCTGGTAGGCTCACCCACCATGAGGACAATTGGAACCCATATTGACAATTATGATTCTAGGTTCCGTGGTTGGCGTGTACGCAACATCTAATGGGAAGCATGGAGAGCAGGCGTTTGAGACATACATCTCCAACTGGCGGTACAGGGGAATCCGACAGCTCAGAAGCCAGAAGGATGTCGACGATGCTGACAACTCTAGTACTTAGGGTGGTATGGCCGAGGCCTTTCCACCATTTACAATACCACTGTCATCCTACTTTATGAGACGATGTTCAAAATTCTCCTTGACCATGGGTCTTGCCAAGAGCTGCCCCGCAAGCTGTCTGTGTGGGAGCCGGAGCCCCCCTAAGACCCATTTCTCCGAAGCAACCCATCATCAAGTCGCAACATGTGAATTGGAGCAATTCCATCATCGGTTGTAGGCTCCAATCGTCTGCTAGCTTGAGGTAACATCGTGTCAGCTGCCAGGCTTCGGAGTCAAGATTCCACCGACGGCCCTGAGCCCAGCTTGCTGCGCTCGTAAGTTGCCTGGCAGTTGGATAATCCTGCTTAAGACAAGGACTCTGAAGAACACATTCAAATGCCGCCACACCTCGGTAGGTCCATGGATGGCGTCTATAAGACCTATCGGACTATGATCGCCCAAGCATTTAAGACTTCTGGAACTATCGGTCAAAGCGGGGGACCCTGAACCCTGAAACCACCAATACCACCTTGCAACCAATATCGTCGGTGCCAGTGTCGAGCTCGGGACGGTCGGACGCCAAGTTTGAAACGTGAAACTCTAAACCATAGTATATAAGAAGCTATGCTCTTGCGCGCCGCGAGGCTTTTCGTCGCTTGTGCAGTCACGATCAACAATAGACAGATTCAAACATCAAACGACGTAGGCATTAAAGTACGCAGACTTGAAGATGGCGACAGCGTTTCTGATGGGTGGCTACAACTTCAAGCCGGACTCTGATATCCCAGACTTGACAGGAAAGGTCGTTCTCGTCACCGGTGGAAATGCCGGCCTCGGACTGGAGACGATCCGACAGATTGCAAAGCACAACCCTAGGCATATCTATCTCGCAGGACGCTCAAAGGAAAGGGGTGAGGCCGCAATCGAAGCACTGAGGAAAGAAGGCTCCAGCGTCGCGCCAATTTCTCATCTACCGCTTGAATTGTCCTCATTTGAAAGCATCAAAGCCGCCGCTAAACAGTTCAATGAGTCTTCTTCTCGGCTGGACCTTCTCGTCAATAATGCTGGAATCATGGCGACGCCGGAGGGCCTCACAAAGGAGGGTTACGAGATCCAATTCGGAACAAACCACATGGGTCATGCGCTCTTTACTCAACTCCTGATGCCTACCTTGAAGAAGACGGCGACCGAGAACCCCGACGTGAGGGTCGTGTTCCTCTCCTCGGGCGCGGAAGGCTGGGCGCCCAAAGACATTTACCAGTTCGACAAGCTCAAGACCCAGATGCCCGAAACCCCCAGCCGCTTTCGTTACGGCATTTCAAAGGTGGCGAACATACACTACGCCGCCGCCCTCGCCGAGCGGCATCCGGAGCTCAAAATTGTCAGCGTGCACCCGGGTATCGTCGACACAAATCTGGCACAATCCATCATCAGCAAATCCAACTTCGTCTTAGGCACGATTGTGTATCTCGGCACTAAGATCGTAGCCGTCAGTCCCCAGAAGGGCGCGCTCAACCAGCTCTGGGCATCCTTCAGTCCAGACGTCAAGAGCGGCACCTTTTACTTCCCAGTTGGTGTCACCGGTAAAGGTACGAGATTGAGCAAGGACAAAGACAAAAGGGAAGAGTTATGGAAATGGACCGAAGACGAACTCCGGAGTCATTTGTAGGGGGATATCCGCAACTGGCCGAGCAGAAAAGAGACAGCTCACAAAAGACCATATCCACCACCATTTACCAAACAAGACTTCGTATTTTCTTTTTCCTTCTAGCGTAATGCGGAGACAGAAATAAAGTGTTCCAAGGACCGGCAGTTTCATGTATGTTGAATCTCCATGGCCAGAATCCGGTGGCTAAAGTGTCTAAGTTTGAATGATGCTGCATGAACCACTACCAAGTCGGTTTTTGCTGCCGTTCGAAATTGCACCGTGAGTTGGCAAAAACTACTCGAGTCGGTTAGATCCAATCCATTAGCCCACTATGAATCAGCAGAATCCGACGCTAAAAGCAGGTGAGTCGCAAAGTTCGGAACCCGATTGAAAAGGGCCCAAGGGGCCCCCTGGTCCAAGTAGATGACGGAAATGTCCACCGTCGGATCAAGCCCGAAGTTCACCCAAGTTCAATCGTCTAAACCTGTCACTGATAACTTGCCCGTCTTCAAGTGAGCCTAATTCGGAGCCGAGAATAGGAGGCCTGGTCGCCCCTTACAGCTTCCCGTCGGCTGACAGGGAAAGTATACGCGCAAGTCCGTATCCGCCGAAAGGAGAGGCTCTGTCCCCACAAGGCAAGCGGCTTGCCGGTCGTCGGATGCTTGGATTGCAATCAGGGCTTTAAGGTTAATCGCACCACTTTAGGTAAAGCCCGGGCTCTCCGATGCTCATTCGTCATCAAATTCTTAACGAGACGACCGCGGGATCAGCCTCATGTTATGAGAGGCAGGAGTTCACTTTCAACAGGAATTGTTCCTGCAACGACCAGTGTCGTTGGCGGAGCAGAAACATGCCATTCTGGAGCAAGTTGGAAGATGCACAACGCTTTGTCACATTCTTGCAGAATCCTTACCTCACCTCCGTTCTTGGCATTTCTTTTCTGTGGGAACTTCCCCTTTCAAACAACTTTTACACAGGCACACAGGGAAACACTGGGTCAGCCGCAGCGACTGGTGGGTAAAATACCGTGATTTTCTGGGTCTTCTTGGATCCCAAGAGTTCCATGATCGGATCGATCGGCAAATCAAGCCTATGCCAAGATGAAGCCAAGATGCCACTGAGATTGGAAATCCTACCTGAAGAGGCGGTTTCTTCATTGCCGCCACGCGTCAGAAGTGGTTGAATCGACTCGGCCAGATGGTCTGGAAGTCTTGGAAGGTGATCTATGATCATGTCTCGGTATTCCGCTGGTAGGGCGGCTGACACCGGCTTGGGGCGTAGGTTCCTGTCAGCCCTGTTCGTCCCAAGTCCACAACGACCGGGTATGATCCCATCGTCAGACCTGGGTCATCGGATAGTGGGCGAGCACCTCTTCTAATATTCTGCTCCCCACGTGCTAGCTTCGTGCCGCGGGCTTGCAGCATTTGAAGCTTAGATAATTTAAGCCAGTGTGGAGAGTCGCCTCCTCTTTTCGGTCCTTCGGGGCAACACTCCGGCGCTGCAGGGTCAGATTAAAGGTGGTTTTGAAATCATGGGCTCCTCTTAGCTCTTTCTAGAGACCGGGGAGATAGACAACGATGATGCCGACTATCCGGCGTGGGAGCCGCACCGTACCCAGTTGCGGAAATCCAACGAGCTTCCAACAAGCAGCATCTAAATGAAAGGGGAGGAGGAGGCCTAGAGTCTTACATGTTCGACGACTTGACATAAGTATCGTCTTTTCTGCCCACCTCTTTTGCTTCTGTTCTTGATACCCCATCGTGCTTCTTCACTCACACTCTTTTCAACCACATTCTTTTTTTCCAACTCTAGTCTCTCATTCGACAATTTTTGTACATACTCGAAGTATTCCACGTGTTGATCACATACCAAAACATCTCAAGAAACGATGAAGTTCCTTTCCGTTGTCGCGGGCCTCAGCGCCCTGGCTGCCGCCGCCCCCGCCGAGCTCGATACCCGTGCCTCGTGCACCTTCACCGACGCCAAGACGGCCATGTCCAAGAAGACTTCCTGCACCGACATCGTCCTCAACGGCATCAAGGTCCCCGCCGGTGAGACCCTCGACCTCACTGGCCTCAAGGACGGAACCAAGGTCACCTTCAAGGGCACCACCACCTTCGGCTACAAGGAGTGGGAGGGTCCCCTCATCGCCATCGGCGGTAAGAAGGTCAGCGTTGTCGGTGCTTCCGGCAACTCCATCTCCTGCCAGGGTGAGCGCTGGTGGGACGGCAAGGGAGGCAACGGTGGCAAGAAGAAGCCCAAGTTCTTCAAGGTCAAGATCAACGATGGTTCCATCTCTGGCCTGAACGTCAAGAACACCCCGGCCCACGGATTCTCCATCAGCGGCGTTTCTGGCCTCAAGGTGTAAGTCACAACTCAATGTTGGGTTTTTGGACAGTAATACTGACCCGACTATTCTCTAGCTCCAACATCCTTTTCGACAACAAGGATGGTGACTCCAAGGGTGGCCACAACACCGATGCCTTCGATGTCGGTACGTCTTCTGACGTGACCATCTCCGGCGCCAAGGTCTACAACCAGGACGACTGCCTGGCTATCAACTCTGGCACTGGTATCACTTTCGAGAACGGATACTGCTACGGCTCCCACGGCCTTTCCATCGGATCCGTTGGTGGACGTAGCGACAACACCGTCCAGAACGTCATCATCCGTGACTCCACCATCGAGAAGGCCGACAACGGTATCCGCATCAAGACCATTGCCAACAAGACTGGCAAGGTCAACGGTATCACCTTCGAGAACATCACCCTCAAGAACATCAACAAGAAGGGCATTGTCATCCAGCAGGATTACGAGAACGGCAGCCCTACCGGCAAGCCCACCGCTGGTATTCCCATCACCGACGTCACCGTCAAGAACGTTAAGGGTACCGTCGCCGCGAAGGGCACCAACGTGTACATCCTTTGCGCCAAGGGTGCCTGCTCCAACTGGAAGTGGTCTGGCGTCTCCGTTACCGGTGGCAAGTCCTCTTCTGAGTGCTCTGGCATCCCTTCCGGCTCCGGTGCCAAGTGCTAAATGCTTGATGGTGGAAAGCTTAGGAGCGGTGCTCCTGAGTTGAAGTTGTTATGACTACAAAGATCAGGATCATGGTCGTAAGTGATGGCCTTGCGACTTGGGTGGAGGTAGTGCTACGGAACTCCCATTTGGGACCCCGTTCGGCTGGTCATCGTTCAATTCTTAGATACCCTTCGCGGAATACAGTTCAATTAATTTTCAATCTGTGTAAAATTTCGGTACAATCATCCGGATAACTTGACTTCGTCAGCCTAATTAGCGTCGTGGTCATCGACCAAATGTAGGCTTCCGTGCAAGCGGTCAACTAAATTCAATACTTTATGTCTTGCTATGTTCCTGCAAAGATGTTCCTAGCCCAATCGTTCCTTGCGATGCTTTGTAAGTGTTTGTGACTCACAAGAATTAAGTTTCTTCGATAACAAGGTACTCAGATTGCTCATGTTTACACCAAGGTCCGCATCGCTGTGGCTGGAACTTTGATGGCTTCAACCGTGATACTCGAAAAGTTTAATTATGACTCCCTCTTGAAAACCTCTCCTCGAGAGACATATAAGCTGAGTCTTCCTCTCACTCGCAAACCCCAGGATCTAAGACTTCTCGCTCGCACCAATTACCCCAGGCTACTCTGCTTTCTCTTGCTACTCTAATTTCTTTGTTACTCTGATTCTTCTTGAGACAACTTCACCATGACGAAGAATAGAAAGGGAAAATCCAAGGCCAAGGTCTCATCTAGGGATTCTTCTTCCCAGAGTGGACCCAGCATTCCCCCGCGGACAACATCTTCTGCCGAGTCAGCCATCAACATCCCAAAGAGAACGGGCTCAGTAAAGGGAACAGATTCCAGCAGCAAGCCTGTGTTCGGCGTCATGGTCGGACCCAATCTCGTTCCCGAAAGAAGCAGCAGCAAGAGAAAAGCTTCTTGGGACGTCGAAACGCTTTCTTCAATGTCCAAAGTTGATCTCCTCAAGGAGCTCAAGAGTAATATCAGCAAGGAAGAAGCACAACGAAAGAGATTGAAACCATCGACATCCCATGACTCTCAGTTCTGGAAAGATTGTGCCAATCATGAAGGCCTCAAAGCATATCGTGTTGGAGTCGAGGCTCACCTAGAATTTCTGGACTCCAAAGCCAAAGGTCGCACGAAGGACTGGGGGGAGTGGATTGATAGCCAAAACGGCCAGACATTTGAAATCCGACATCTTGCGCATCAGCAACGGATAGGACTCCTAAGCAAGCAAGCTGAGAGTATGCGAGCAGACTCATTGAACACTCGCATAAGAGACAAACTTGTCGAGCTGTTCGTTTCTTCCAAGCTTGGACTCGATGCAACTTTAGCCGGCATAGGAAGCCGGAGAAGCACAGATCAGCAGAAGTTCAAGAAGAAAATGCTCAACGCGTACTGCCCCAAATCGCTGCGACCCTCTAGAGACTCTGTTTGGGAGCCAGTTCTGCATAAATGGGTTGAGACTCCACTTTGCAAGGCGGCGCACCTTTACCCATGGTCCCAATTGCACTCAATGGACTTGATTTTTGGCTCTGAAGGACCTAGGGACATCTTCTCCCCTAAAAACGGGCTCATACTCCATACTAAAATCGAATGGGCCCTGGATCATGGCGTTATAGCCATAGTTCCTGACGTCGATCTAGACCCAAAAAATCCTGATTTCCCGCTTGAAGATCAAGAGGAGAGAGAAGAACGCCTCAGGAACTGGGAGAACGGCAACGTTAAGGATTACAAAGTGATTGTAGTGGACAAAGATCATGAGAGAGCGAAAGAGCTACAGAATCTCGGCGGCGATTTCATCACGCTGAACGACTTGCATGGTCGCAAGTTGGAGTTTTTGAACGGTTTCCGCCCCCGCGCGCGCTATATTTGGTGGCAGTTTTACTCTTCAATCACCAAGGCTTCGTGGAAGATGAAGGCGCTCGGCCAGGAAGATCGAGATCTTATGCAGAAGGAGATTCTCAAAGCAACGCGCTTTTGGGGTAGCCCGGGACCTTACGTTACTGAGGGCATCTTGAGCTCTTTCGCAAAGACCATCGGCCATTCCGTTGAGTCCTTACATGATAGTATGGCTGGCAAAGGAGACACGGAAGCAGATGATGCAGCATTGGCTGCTCTCACTGCTCAGGCGACGGAGGGGGATTATAAGTTGATCAAACTTCTTGAGACGTCCGATCCCAACGGCGAGGATTTTGAGTATAGTGAGGAGGAGGAGGAGGAGGAGGAGGAGGAGGAGGATAAGCTTCATTACAAGGGGGATTCCGATTATGACGGGGACGGGGACGGTGATTTGAATTAGAGGACGAGAACTTAACATTATTCAATGTTCTTGTGTTAGGAAATGTGACATTCGTTCAAATAAAATGGACGCATCTATCAGGTGTGTCGAGTGACACATGCTAACCGCAGAGCCGTGGGCCATCACCAAGGCCTAAACATCCCCATCACAAGCATCATTATACGAGATTCATCTCGGAATCGACTTCATTCGTCTAAAGTTAGTACTAATACACGCACCATCGAGTTCCAACGACCCTAGGCCTCGTACAACTCAATCTGAATGCCGCCATCCACCTTGTGTCTCCAGGGATTGACTGCCGTGATCAGGAACCCCCCATGTGAGACCAAGATCGTCTAGAGTCGACCACCAGACCCCAAAAACCATCCTAACCTCGCGGAAAATAGAAAGAATACAAACATACTGAAGCTTTTTTGTAAAGTCTAACAAACGAATCGCGGCATTCGTCCATAATAATAGCCACGACCGTCATCTTGATGCAAATCGCGTTGTCCACTCCGACGCCAGGCATATCTCACGCGCGCCCAGCGTGTCCTACCCATAAACCATATTGCTACAATCGAAACCTCCGTTTTCCGCGCATCTGTGCGCAACGAGTGACCTCTCGTTATCTATCGTCGTCTTCTATTCGAATCAGACGGCCTGTCGACGACAACTAGACTTGTCCGTCGGCAAGGGCAAGTCTCTGTTTCAGTGTCTTGGCCTTCTTGCCACCGCCTCTGCGTTGCTTCTTGGTTCCCTTCACTTCGGGCTCGGCTACAGGCGTGGCGGTACCCGAGGTTCCGTTGGCTCCATTGCGGTTGTCATCAAAGTTGCCCTCGCCTGTGAACATGTTAGTATGTCCGTGGGTAGCATGGACAGCAAACAACTTACCCTCGTGGTACATCTCGTCCAGGCTGACGTCCTCATTGACCACCCGCTTGCGCTTCGTCGTCTTCTTCTTCTTCTCGGGCTTGTCGAATTCGCCGGCCTGAAGCATCTCCTTCTCACGCTGCTCAATCATCTCCGCCTGCTCATCGTCGGCAAGCCACATAGCAATATCGCGGTTGCGGTTCTCGGGAGCGCGGCGACCAGAGAAGTCAACACTGGCACCACCTCCCTGGATGACGACGCGCTGCACCTCTTCCTTTTGCATGGCACGCTTCCGGATACGCTCCTCAATCGTTCCCTTAGTGATGAGACGGTACACGGTAACCTGTCGAGTCTGACCCAGTCTGTGAGCTCTGTCCATGGCCTGCGAATCGATCGTAGGGTTCCAGTCGGAGTCGTAGAAGATGACGGTGTCAGCAGAGGTAAGATTGATACCAAGACCACCAGCACGGGTCGACAGAAGGAAGATGAAGATCTCGGGACGAGTCTGGAAGTCGGCGACAGTATCTCTTCTGTCTTCGAGCTTGGTCGAACCATCGAGACGGCAATACTTGTAATTGCGGTACGTAAGGTACTCCTCCATGAGATCGATCATGCGTGTCATCTGGAAGTAGAGCAGCACACGATGACCCTCGGCCTTGAGCTTGGTCAACAGCTTGTCGAGAGTGGCCAGTTTGCCGCTGTCAGTAACAAAACGGCGCATTGACGGAGTCGCAATGTTGTTGAATTTCTTCTTGTCGTTATCCGGCGCAGGGAGCAACTTGCGGGGCGGGAATCGGTCAAAGGGAAGCTTCTCAGTAACCATGGCCCGTTCTTCCTGGATCGTGGGGCCAAACAAACTCTTGCGCATGGATCTGTTGAACAGGATACTTTCCGTCTCCAAACCGGTTCCACTGCTACAGCAGCTCACCTCAATGGGTGGAGCAGAGGCGCGCGGGCGACCGGCCTGCTCCAAGCGTCCCAAGCCGCTGTCGACATACTCCTCTCGGGCCACGTTCATGAGGTTAGCCATGATGCCCTCTTGAGTGATGTCTGCAAGGGGTTGTCTGTTGTTGCGGGCGGCGATCTTGAACAAGGCATGAGCAGGGGTGAAGTTGGCGTCTTCGGCGTCGTCGTAAGCAATCTTCATGAGGGGCAAGCGATCCTTCTTCTGAGACAATTCGACGGCACGAGAGAAGACGTCCTCGTGGCTAGCCTTATAGACCTCGGTCGGGCTGGTATCAGCGAAACGCAGGAAGGAAAACGCGTCGGATCCCTCGAGACTGTCGCGGATGTGCTCTGGAGTGAAGATGTTCATCATGTGCTGCAGATTCTTGTTGCGCCAGCCAGCCTTCAGGTTGCCGCGGTCGGCCTTGTAGAGCCTGCCATCTTGTCTCCAAAGGAGACGAGGCAGCTCGTACTCAATCAAGTTTCGAGTAGAGTAGCCGACGGCGACGTTGTTGCCCTCTCTGACAAAGGAAGCCGTCTCCGCGAAGTAGCCGAACGAGAAAGGAGAGGTCGTGTCGGCTCTCTCGAATAGGTCGGGATGGTTGCAAACCTTTCGGAATTGCATGACGAGGTTCATGAGAGTTCCAGAGTCGTCATTATCACCCGTCGTAGCCTTCTCAATGAGATCCATGATACTGATCTGGTTCCGCAGGTTGCTGTAAATGGCGCGCTGTCTGTAGGTGAGATCGCAGTAGACATCCTCCTCGATCTTGTCTCCAAGCTCCTTCTGGACATGCTTCTTGACACGACGCAACATGAACGGCTTCAGAATCATGTGCAGACGTTTGAGCTGATCTTCGTTGAGCTTCGTGTTACTTTGTGCGTGTGACTCAATATCCTTGGAGAACCACTCGCTGAACTCGTCGTGAGAATCGAAGAGCGACGGCATGATGAAATGGAGCAAGGCCCACAGTTCCTGCATGTTGTTCTGGATGGGGGTACCCGTGAGCAAGAGACGGTTACGGCAGTGGAAGTTGAGCAAGCTCTTCCATCTGGAACTCTGCGAGCTCTTGATGGCCTGCGCCTCGTCGAGAATCATGTACTGCCACTTCATCTTCTGGAAGTAGGCGACATCAGAGACGACGAGCTGATACGACGTGACACAGACGTGGAACGATGCATCCTTCTTGTAGGTGGTGTGCTTGCGGTCCCAGAACTTTCGCAAGACCTTTCGGTCACCAGCAGAACCCCAGTAGGGAAGGATCTTGAACTCGGGGACGAACTTTCGGATTTCCTGTTCCCAGTTGTGAAGCGTAGACGCGGGCGCGACGACGAGGAACGGACCCCAGATATCGTACTTCTCAGCGAGGTAGGCCATGACGGAAATCGACTGAACAGTCTTTCCAAGACCCATCTCGTCGGCGAGAATGCCGTTGATACCTTGCTCGTACAGGTTAGCGAGCCAGTTAAGACCCTTGAGCTGGTACTCCTTGAGCTGCGCGTTGATGAGCTTGGGCTGCTCGATGGCAACGTCGCCCATGCCGGCAGGGTTCTGGAAGTTCATCTCGCCCTCCTCGTCCATATCGGGGCCCTCGGGCTCGTTGAAAGCTCTGGCCTTTCTCTGTGCCTCGGCGATGGCATTCTGAGCATTGGCCATGGCGGCTTGGCGCAGGTTCTCCTCGTCTTCCTCCTCAAAGGTGAGATTCTCAAAGTCAGTGACCTTGGCGCCCAAAGGTCCTGTCGGTTCAGCGATATCGAGATGCTTGTTGTGGGCAGTCTCGTCCTTGTTCTCGGCTGCAATCTCGGGGTTATCGGTACTGCGTTCGACCTCATCCGTCTTGATCTTCTTGCCGATGAAATGGGAGTACAGCTCAGTCTGCGAGATAAGGAAGTTGAGCTTTCTCTTCTGGCGGGCAGCTTCGCGCTCGGCTTCTTCCTTACGGGCGTTCTCAATCTCCTGCTTCTCGGCAGCCTTTCTGAGATCACGCTCCTCACGCTCGTTGCGCTTCCAGAAGCCCATCATGTCACGCATAACACGCTTGGCACGGGCCTGCTGATCCTTGGTGCCCTTGTTCGTCCGCAGCTGCCACCTCTTGGCCTCTTTAGATGCGAGGATGGCTGTCTTCTTAAGGTTGGACGCCTTGGTCTGGTAGGACTCGGCCGCCATCTTGTAGGTCTTTGAGACATCCTTGCGGGCGAGATCGCGCCAAATCTGGTCGTAAATTTGGAGGAAACCCTTGGTCTCGAACTTGGCGTCCTTGTTGGGAGGCTCCTCGGGCTTCTCCTCCTTCTTCTCCTTCTTTTCTTTCTTGCTCTTGCGCTCCTTCTTCTCCTTGACGGGCTCGACGATGGTATCCTCGTCAATGTCGACGTCGCCGTCGCCTTCGACCTCGACGTCGGGCTCTTCCTGATCCACATCCTTGTCCTTGTTCTTCTCTTTGTCCTTGTCTTTGGACTTCTTGTTGAACTTGATGCGGATCTTGCCCTCTTCCTTGATCGGGAGCTCCTCGCCAGCGTCGATGGCGGCTTGCGCAGCCTCTGCAGCGTCCTTCTCGGCCTGCTTCTGCTCCTTCGACTTCTTGGGCCGAGGACCGCTGCGACCCTTGCCCTTGGGCTTCGTGCCGGGTTCCATGTCAGACGCTTGGTAGGTGGCCATGGTGCCTCCGTCCAGGTTGAGCTCGGCGAGGTTGCGAGCGGGGCCCTTGATGCCCTTCTGGAGAATCAACTTCGTTTGCAGAGCCTTTTTGTTAGCACGCTCGGCATCCCGCAGGTGCTTCGCCTTTTCGGTCTCATCTTCGGCCAATCGTGCGCGCTCCAGCGCAAGCTTCTGTTGTTCCATGGTGACAGCCATGGACTTTTCACGACGACGCTTGCGCTGCATGTCCTTCTTGCGCTCCTTTTCGGCAAAGAGCTCACGTTCTCGGACCTCGTTCATGGCCTCCTCGTAGTAGATGTCGTCGTAGCGGCGTTTGCCGAGATCGGCGTGAGTGCCCAATCTGCGGCCCATCTCTCTCGAGAACTCGTCGCGTCGCTCGACATTGCGCTTGCTATCCTTGTCTTGCAAGAGGCGACGTCGCTTGTTGCCGCTTTCTTGGTACTCGGCACGATCAGCTGTGAGTTCGGAGTCGGTAAGTTCGTCGGCATCGGCATCGAGCTGAGCAATCAGATCCGTAACCTTCTTTTCTTTATCGGCAGGCAGGGTT